ACAATATCTATACAATATTAATCTAAAATGAATAACTATTATGTAAATATATAATAATAAAAATATAATTATATATATAAATATAATTATAATCGACTAAAATATTAATTTAAATATCAAATGACATATCGTGCAAAATTGATAATTATTATAATTATTATAATGTCAATAATTTCGTAATTTGTAAATTTCTAATTATATTGACGCAAGTGTTTTATAAATGTCTGTATTGAATGACAAATAAAATAATGTATTTTAGATTTTATCTCAACTGTATAATAGAAATGTCAAAAAATAAGTAAATATTATTTTTGTTTGAATTAAATAAAATATTACTAATTAACATAAAAAATATTTACTACTGTTGTATTAAATTACTGACTTATTGTTCAGTAAAAAGTAATTTTCAATTAAATCATAACATTTAAGTCAAAACATTAGATAAAATATGATAAAACATTTTATTATGATTATATAATAAAGGGTCTGTCTATTATACAGTTATTTTTTGCTTTTTTATTAATTCTAATAAATAGTTTGATAAATCAATTCAATTTTTCTTGTAATTTTGATAGATATTAATTTGATTATTATTATGCGGCTATTATATTAAAAATGATAAATTGTTATTTTTATTAAAAAATAAAATAATATTATATGATTTTACAACCCCTTTACCAAATAAATTGTAAACATCATACAAATGTTAGTTTTAATTTTATAGCTTTTATAGTAATGTTAATTCAGTTATCTTATTTTATTATATTATATCTATATTATATTAACAAAATTTATAAGTCTTTAATTGTTAATGTTTTTAACAATTGCATTACTTTACCTAAAACTGTATTTATAAGTAATTCAATATATTTAGTAAACAAAAATTACAATATGTATTTATAAATTTCAATATTTTGTTTAACTCTAAATTATTATTTTAATTTTGTAATTCATGCAATTTATATCATTTAAGGAAAATATTAGTAAAAATACTTTATAATCTCGATATATAATATTTTTATATTGATCATATTTTTTGTATTTAAATAATTTATGAATTAATATTATACAAAAATTAAGATAAAGTTACAAAATTAATGCTAATTATGTGTTTTATTATTTTTTTATTTATTTTATTAAAAATGTTAAACATTTAAATAGAGATATCAAAAACATTGTTAAAAAATACAATTTATTATATTTATATATRCATTATATTCTAAACTACTTTAAGTACATTATTATAATAATAGAAATATTTTGTTTGAATTTAAGTGTATCTCTAACTGTCTCTCAATAGTTGTAGAAAAGTCGGTCAAAGGGCTGATTGAAAAAAAAATTGGTGTTAAAGTCAAGTCCTCAATAATCTCATCGCTTTTAAAGTCCATAGAGTAGAGAAGCCTATTATTAAATGATCAAAAAATTGAAATTTATATCATTTTTTTGCTGTTTAATCATATGATTGATTATAATATAGTAAAATATACAAATATTTATGTTGAAACATATCAAAAAATTTGTTGAGAAAATGTTGAAATTATATAAAAAAACTAAGAAAATGTTATATTTTGTGTAATTTTATTTGAAGTTTCGATTGATAACTCATTATAAAATTATTATTATTAATGAATTTACATTTAATTGTTTAGTAGTGTATTGCATATATTCATTGATATATAAATTATATAYTAATATATTGTATATAATGTACAAACATTTTATTATATTGAGTATATAAAGCTTTCTAACTTCAATTGTAAAAGCAATTAACTAATTTCATAATTGTTTTATAATTTATAGCAATTTTTTGTTATAGGGTTATTATTGTTATTATTATTTTACAAAATTAAATCATTTTTATTATTAATTGCTTATATTTTTAAGGATTTATCTTAAAACCTAGTAATTAATAATAAGATTAAGAAAACAAATAATTATAAAAATAATCATATTTTGAAATATTTTGTAAATAATAATATTGATTTAGCACTTAAAAGCACAAAATATGGCAATTAATACAATATTAATAATATTTTATAATAAATTTTAAAAATATAGTTAATGCCATATTAATTAGCATAACTTAAATTTAATTTAGATAATTTCATATATTTTGCATATTATGATACAATACCTTATTGCCAATAATTAATTGATTGTAATCTAATCATTAGATGTTAATGAAACATAACTGATATTATCATTATTTTAGATCTATTTTATTGTTGTTTTAAAAACTATTGTTAAGTATTTATATTTTTTACAGTCTATCATAATATTATTAAGGGAAGTTATAAATTAAAAATGTATTATTAAAATGATTTATCTATTACTTAATAAATAATAAAATTATAATAATTTTATTTAATTATCTTAATTTGCCATTAATACAATTAATAAACTTGTTATTAACATATAGTTTAGAATTAATATACTGTAGAATTATACAAATATAATAAAAATAAATAATACTGTATGGTACTGTAAAATTATATAAAAATATAAATAAAATATAAATAAAATATATTAAATAGATTTTTATATAACAAGTAATAAATATCTATACATACAAATAAAAATTGCTAAAATATAATTATACAAATTATGTAGTTTGTGGTGAGTAGCACTGCAATATCAATATTATAATTGTAAAAATAAGAAATAACAATTAAATTATTTTAATCAAATATCATAGTTTTAAATTAATTAAGTTTTTGTTTAAGTAGAGTTAAAGATACAAATAAAATATTTATATCTAATAAAACAGTATATGAATTAATTTAAACTAATTGTAACTAAATAGGTTAACAATTGCTTAAGATAGTACATTATACTAATTTAATAATTAAAATGTATTTATCTTGTTTTATAATACTAAAAATATATATTATTATAATATAGCAAACAAATAAATATATATTAGCAAAAAAAATACAATTGTTTTTTTTTGCAATAATATTAATAAAATAATGAACAGCATATTTAATTTGCAATTTATTTATTAAGTTTTAAAAATTACATGATTTTTAATTAACTTTTAAATAAAAATTTCATTATATAATAAATTGTATTTATGAAACAATTTAAAATACAAATATTTAAAACTAAAATAATTGTAAATTAAATTATAGTAAAATTTACGCTATATATTATAGATAAATTTTCGAACTATTATAACAAATATTAAATATAACATATTTTTCTTTTATTATATAAATTATTTATTAATAATATCAAAAAAATTTAATGATTCTAGTAATACATATTCTATATATTAAATCATTAATAATAAATAAATTTAATCTAAATTTGATTGATTTATAATAATAATAATATAAAAATTATATTATATACAAATACATCTATATTTGATTTTAATCAAATTTGTTATATTTTAGATAATTTTATTTCATTTAACCCTTTTATGTGTTAATAATTTCATAAGCAATTGCTTTTTTATATTTATATAATATAATATCATAATTTTAATATTAAAAATTAATTGAAACATTTAAAAAATTATATTATTTATTTTTAATAATGTACAATTAAATATTTTTAGAATTATTATTTTATATAATGTAATAAAAAAATATAAATTATAAATACAAATATTGACAAAATAATAAAAAATACAAATTATATAAATTATTAAATATAATATAAAACATTGTTTAAAAATTGATAAATAATTATTTAGTTATCATTGTTTGTCATCTTAACAGATACAATATAATTGTGAAATTATACAATATATTTACAATTGTAATATACAAATAATATTAATAAAATAATAATATTTTCTAATAATCTCATCAAGATATATTAATATTTCATGCTTAACTATATCTACTGCAATGTACAGTATACTGAAATTATAGATAAATTTAAAACTTTAAACCAAAATTATCAAACAAACAAAAAATGACTAAAATTTTGTATTGATAAAGATCTCAATAGTAACTAACATAAAATATTTTTGTATAATTATTAGTATATTGACCAAAACATAAATTGATCAATGATAGTAGTACAATGGCATTTACTAAAAAAAGTCAACTAACCCATGGGTGCTCATTAGCCCCCCTTTCCTAAAGGCACTGTTCTTAAACTGTCAATTTCTAATTAATATAAATACAAGCTATTGTAATAAACATAAATGGAAAAATTTATACAAAATAAAAATCATAAATTTAAATATATATTGTATAACAATATTAATAATAATAATAACGATTAATGAATAAAGTTTAGTTACGGTAAATATGTTTAAAGGCAACCATTTTATCAATGAAAATCCAATATATTTAATTAATTGCTATTATATTTAATAATTTAAAGCAAATGTATTGATGAATATACAGTACAGTGCAGTGACAGTGCAACTGGTTTTTTATTTACACGCAATCTTTTAGTTACATTTAAATCATTAAACAAAAGAAAATCAAAACAAATCAGGTTTTACACTGTTGTCGATGTTTTTGTTTTCTAGTTATATCATAAAATGTATAATATTTTTATAGTTATTACACACACACACACACACACACACACACACACACACACACACACACACACACACACACACACACACACACACACACACACACACACACCGGTACCTAAAGTTGTTTTACATACTGTACTTATATACCAAAACCAGATTTGTTGGGGATTTTTACAAAAGTTATATTGCATTACATGAAGTCATACACCAATTGAGTCAAAAATTATTTTAATTTATCCTTTTTTGTTGCAATTCTTACATATATTTCAGTCATCTGTATATCAAAAATAAAGTCTAACTCTTTTCTATTTTCAATAAAAACTGTTTTTTCTTCATTTCTATCTTTGAAGTATTTAAAAATATTAAATGATTATATTATGATACGATAGTATAATATAATATAATATCTATAATACAGTGATATTTTCCCCACTTTTTTCATAAGCATTTGTATTAAAAACTAGCAAATCATAAGAGGGAAAGTCAGTCTGTTATCGATGGAAAGGGAGATATCACTCACTTTCAAATACCCATACCATTAGACTCAGTCACCATTCCAGTGGTAAATGACTCATAGACCACCTCCCTGTTCCCTATTGCCTATTCCCTCCTAAATTGTTTAGATATCATCTATTCTGAAGGTAAACACAAACAACAAATATATAAGTTTTTTTTTCAATGAAAATCATCTCTCAGACCAAAAACTATAATCATTAATGTAATATTACTTTTCAATACTTTTAATTTAATATAATTTATGCTGTAATTATATATTTGAATAATTGAAAAAAATGAAATTATTATTATTGAAAATTAGATATTAAATAAGTAGATCTGAAAATTATATTATTGTTGACACCAATTATTCTCAAATTTAAATTATAGTCAAATTATTCATTAAATTAATTTTTTCATATAACTTAATAGATAATTATTGTTATTTTCCGTTAAATTGTTTAATAATATCTTAAATAAATAATAATTACTCTAGATGACTTATTAAAATAGATAGTTTTATAAAATTAGTAAAAAAAAAATATTTTTTTTATTGGTTATGTATTGAATGAGTGATTTTCACTGTCAAATTTGAATTTTGAATATTTTCTTTTTAATATAATTGTTAAATCAAAATAATAATTATATCTTAAACAACAGTCAATTGAAAATAAATTTTCTCACAACAACTAAATCTATATAATTAACGTCTTATGTATTTTATCTGTTTTATTATAAACACGTCAAACAAATATGAAAAAATATGTTGAAATATCAAAATCTTTTAAAGTTTTTATTGCATTTGTGTTTGAAATATAAGTGAAATAAATATTATTTTTTTCTTTAATTTTGTGTTTTTTATTTTTTTAAAAATAATAATCTAATAATAATAATTTTAGGCAATTATGTCCATTAATAACATGGCATTCATCTCAACATCTCCCGGTGCTACTGAACAAAACGATTTAAATAATATAAATTTTATTAATAATGACTTAAACAATATGTCTAATGATAACTATAATAATAATAATAAACCAAAACTTGCAGTAAATGTACGAAATGTTGTTTTCGGTTACAATAAGACCAATACTGTACTCAAGAGTATCAATCTTAAAGTGAGAGAAGGTATGTATAGTTATTGATATTTATTTTGATTTATATGTCTTTAATAGACAATTAAATGAGAGTTAACTACAAAATGATATTCAATTTTTTAGTTTATTTTTCTTCTGGTTTTTTGTTTCATAAATAACACTACTTTAACTATCATTGATATCAAACACACACATACTTTCACTGCATAGTAATCTATAACATGTTTTTGCTGATCCAGCAAACAGCCAGCCCTTTGCCCCAAATATTAATGGTCTATCTCACTGTCAGTATTACAGTAAAAAAATATGTGTTATTTATCCTAAAAAGTAGATTTTTTCCAAACATTTAGCTTTTGGGCAAATGAATGGACCCTTTAAAGCGAGAGAAGATAATATCGCCAACAGCTATAGTGTGCTTATACTGTACAACCAAATACAGTAAATGTATCGATATATATATATACTGCTATTATACAGTATATATGGATATATAATATATATATCGTATATACTGTATATAAGATTTTTTTAATTCCTATAGTTTTAGGGCTGTCGTTAAAATTAATATTAATTCAGTCGCTTTATGTCTATCTAACATTTGTTTTGCATTAAATATTATTCATTATTATTAAGTTATTATGATTTGTTCGCTTATTTAATCAAACATTTAATTTATGTATTTTTTATAAAGAAAACTATCGTTTTTTCAGAAAAGACACCAACATTTTTGTTATATATTTTTAAACACTGAGTGAATGAGTGTGTGTGTGTGTGTGTGTGTGTGTGTGAGAGAGAGAGAGAGARAGAGAGAAAAAAGGAGATCTAATATTTAGGTCACTATTAAATATTCAATTCACATGACATTTGCCAGAAATTTTGAGCAAACAAAGTGAAAATTACTCTTATTTTTCTTATATAACAAATTGTATACTATTAGTAAAATGAATATAATATAATATAATAATTTTTTTAATTTGATAGTACTTTATTATTATTATTATTATTACTGATATAAATCTGGTAAAATAAAAAAATATTGTAATACACTTATAGAGCAACACCAGATTTACACACATTAAAGTGTCCTAAATTATGATTATTATAGATTTGAGGGACTTTTTTAAAAATATATATAATCATAAGTATTTGAAAAATAAAAATATAATTTAGATGAGAATAAATACTATATAAAAATTTGAAACCATAAAAATACTGAATTTTATTTTCTTTTATATAAATAGTTATTTTATTTTATTATTAACTGATTAATATGCACACAGAATAACGTAGATTAATAGTTTTTGATGACTAATAATCTGATAAAAATCTAATGTTTTGTTATTCAAGTAAMATTTTGTTTTTAATAATATTAAAAATAATTTTATAATAAATTAAGGTATTTTTAAAATAAATACAAAAATGAAAAATCATTTTATAATACTAATTGAATAATGTATTTAAATAAAACATTTTAAAACGTTTATTCTCTTTATCTCATATTTTCARCATTTTTAATATAAAAACTATGAGTTGATATGAAATCATTTAATAATGTGTTAATATATTTAATAAATAATAAATATTTAATATACTTATAATTTTGCAAATAAAATTGTAAGTTAGATATATTTTTAATTTTTTAATATTACATTTTGTGTAAATATCTGRRATTCAAGATCTTGTTATATAATATACCACTATTTCAATACATGTTTTTTTTATAAATCATTTACTTTAAAGTGAATATTATTAAATAATAATATAATAAAATTAATAAAGATAATAGTAATCATGATTTTTATAAAATAAAATAGCAATAAAATTGATTTATTTCACATGTTTTAGACATATTTCCCAATTAAAATGCGTCAGTTTATTAGAAAAATATTATAATAAATTTTGCTATAATTTATGATATCATTTTTTTGGGGTAATAATACCAAATTTTTACAATGATGTTTTTGGCTCAAATGCCTGGGGCTAATTGTTGAGGTAGCCTTCAATGCTATAGATTATTATTTATATTTTAATTTTATATCAAATTATAATTAAAAGTATTTTTGTTTTGTATTTTATTAATAATATAACAAAATAATATATCAATACATATATTTAAGATCTAATATTATAAGACCTAAAATAATATTTTAAAACTTTTTTTTATTTCCATTTCTMTCTATATATATATATATATATATATAATATATAATATATATTTAGGCAATATTTTTGCACTATTGGGTGCTAATGGCTGTGGAAAAACAACACTTTTAAAGTTAATGTTGGGACGACTCCGACCTACAAGCGGTCGAGTATTAGTATTTGGCGCTAAACCCAACAGCAAGTATTGCAACATCCCTGGCCCCGGTGTAGGTTATATGCCACAGGAGATTGCATTGTTCCCCGAGTTTACCATACGTGAGATTCTAACATATTTTGCACTTTTGTATCACATGGACTCGGGTGAGGCCAAGGCTGAGATTGAAAAACTAATTGCATTACTGAATCTACCGGTAAGGGAACGATTGATCGGTCAATTAAGTGGTGGTCAACAACGACTGGCCTCTATTGCTGTCACAATGATTCATAAACCAAAAGTGATTATTTTGGATGAGCCTACTGTTGGTGTCGACTCATTACTTAGGTGTCGTATTTGGAAATATTTGGAAAATATATGCTATAAACAAGGTATGGTATGTTTGGACAGTAGTATAAATTAGTTATAAATTAAATTAAATATAAGATAAACAATAAGTGAATAATGAACTAAATATGACCCATAATACTGTATTCACTATTTACAGTATTTATTATATTTACATTTTTAATTATACAGTCATTTATACCATATATTTAATATTAAGATTAGTTTTTTATAAATCGGTAAACAAACACACACTCACTGAAACATATTACACACACACACACACACACACACACACACACACACACGATATTATACGCACGAAACAAATAAATGTAATAAATATTTTAATATTATTTATTATACATGCAAAAAATAATTTAAAAATTTTATACCGTTATTTTTCATCATAGTAATAAAAGTGCCATAGGATTATGTTTATTGTGTGAATTTAATATAAAATATATTTTTGTTTATAATTTTTATTTTGATATTATAAAAAGAAAAAAACCAAAGTATAGCAAAAATAAATTTAATAAAATTTAATATATTTAATATAAATATTATATTGTGTTAATATATTATCATATATTAATATAAAACATAGTTTTGTGGAATAATTTCGGTACATTGATAATCAAATTATAATTTTACASAAAAAAAACAATTTCTGAATAACTTGTTTTGTTATTCTTTTTATTTATTAGATTTTTTTGTAAAAATATTAAATTATTATAATTATGATTAAATTTTGTTTCAAAATTCAAGGTATTTGTCAAAAAAATGTTATATAATCGCCCAAAAAATAACTAAAATACTATAATGTATTATTAATGAAAATTTCCGCTAGTTTTTAAACTATTAATATTTAATGAAAGATATTTTGAAAATATTGAGATTTTATCACAAAAAAAATAAATATTAAACAATATTTTATGTGTAATATTATTAGTGATTATATTGATCACACAATTAGTGTCAATAGTATCACTTAAATGTGAGACCTAATTTAGTATGCTTTATATACGGTATCTACAGTAGTAATAAATCTTATTAAACAAAATACATGTTTTAGTTAAAATAAAATATTATTTAAAATAAAGTCAATTGTTTCGCAAAACAAATTTGTTTATTATTACTGTAATTACATTTTACGGTACATAAAATTATTAATAATTTTAGATTAGACACGAAAGTTATATTAATATCATATCAATTATATTAATGTTAAGTTATTATTTCGCAAAAACAAAAAATAAAATTTAGGCAATACTGTAATCATAACAACACACTATATAGAGGAAGCCAAGTGTGCGGCCGAAGTGGGTTTCATGAGCTCAGGTCAACTCCTCAGACAAGACAATCCACAGAAACTGATGCGTGAATACCAGTGCTCGACACTCGAGGAAGTCTATCTCAGATTATGTCAAAAGAATATTCAGCACCAGAAAGACATGAGACAATTGGAAGTGATGGCAACGGATGGACAATCGTCGGACATTTCGGATATTGAAATGCGGACACTTACTAACCCGATAACTGATGAAGACATCTCTGAGTTAGACGAAATATCGCACAGAATTAGCGGTAGTTATCGGAAAAAATTTATTGATATGAAACATATACAGGCAATGGTGTGGAAATCATTTATGCGAACCAAACGAAATCCATTCTTAATGATATTCTTCCACATATTACCATTGATTGTCCTAACAATACTCAGTGTGTCGATAGGCATACCACCGATCAATATACCGGTTGCCGTATATAACGGTGAACCAGTGGCCAAACTGTCTCAACGTTACTTAGATACTATTGATAGCAAACATATTCAATTAGTTTACTATCCGAGCAATGAGTCGGCTTATGAATCAGTGGTGAGGGGTATTAATCGGATGTCAATTGTGTTTTCCAGTAATTTTACCGATAGTTTTGARACACGCCTACTCTATCCGACAGAGTTGGACGACAATGAACTGGAGACCACAAAAATCAAAGTTTATGCCGACTTTTCCGACACAGTTGTCGGCAATTATATATGGAATTATATGTTAGAAACTTTTCATAAGTTTCTCAAGTCGTTTAGTCAAACTCTGGGCTATAATCCCCTAGCATTTGCCCTACCGATGCAATTAGTGGAACCTCCTATCTATGGTCAAAATGATCACTCCTTCAACTCTTATGTATTGCCGGGTATGATGTTGGCCTTCCATCACGGATTGCCTATGATTTTRGCTGCTTTTCTCATCATTTACGAGCGCAAGAACGCACATATGGACAGGGCTTTTGTGGCCGGCATTAAACCCATTGAGGTATTGATTGCACATATAATACATAACTCTGTGGCCGTCTTTACCCAAGTGTTACTATCACTCATCATCTCGTTTGTSGTCTTCAACAACACTATTGTTGGCAATTATGTCGACGCCTATATCATGTTTGTCGCTCAGGGACTACAGGGTATGACAATTGGATTGACCATTGCTCTGATTTTAGCTGATGAAGTATCTGCTATGGTTTGTATTGAGATTATTGTTATATTTATATATTATTTAGTGATATGTGTTTATGATACAGTACTAACATTACATTACAATAATATAATTAATAAATAAAAAACAAATAAACATTTTTTACATTTTGAAAGGTTTATATATTTTAAACATAAATTTAATTGAAATTAAATTCTATAAAAAAATATTTAAAAAATATTATTGAGCATAATTAATTTAATAATTTCAAATATTATGTTTGAAAAAATTAGATAATAATAATAAGATAAAAAAGATAGTAAAATTAATTATTAATCAAAATTAATATTACACAGTATTATTGATTTTTTATTAAGTAAAAGATCACGAATAGTAATCCATAATAATCAATAACAGAAATAATTTAGCTTATATTGATAAATAATTATAGTTATGTTCAAAAATAAGCTAACAAATTATAGACAATAAAAATACTGTTAAACGTTCAAAACAGATAATTAAATATTAATAATATTTAATTTATATTATTTTGTTGTTATGTTGTGTATAAATGTAACTATCAATATTAAATAACACTTTTATCCCATTATTATCAATCTTTTACACAAAATCTAGGTTAGTTTGACCGGACTAATGCTCCCCATTTGGATAATGTCGGGCGTGTTTTGGCCTCTTGAAGCCATACCGGCCTATTTCCGAGTGCTGGCCAACTGGACACCACTGGCGCAGCCAATTGAATCGTTGCGATCTATTATGCTGAGAGGTTGGCCACTCAGCAACCCATATGTTTTACTGGGACTTATAGTTAGCGTTTCATATACTCTAATATTAAACTTAGTAAATATTTTAGTGTTTTACAAATTTTCAGCAATTACACTTGAATCGTTATTTCATAAAAAATAGTAAAACATTTATAATTTTGTTTAGTTTTTTACAAAATAATTATTAAATATTTTAAAAAATAATAATAATTKGGTTCTCTTATGTGATATATTACTAACAAATTTAGTTATGCATTAATTATAAATTATGATTGATTTTAAAATTTAAATTTATTTTTCTATTTTTCCGAAGTTAATTCATTTAAAAAACCATATTATCTTAATTTATTGATTATATTTGCAAATAAGTTTTTTTGTTAMTTATGTTTTTTGAATGTGTGTTTATTAATACAACTGTTATCAACATTATACATGTATTTTATAACTTAAAAAAATATTAGAAAAGTTACAGTACTTATTATTAAATATTAATGATATTGGCCCTTTAGTTTTATTAATTATAAATTAAAATTATATTAATTTTATTCAAAAAAAAATTTAAATGAATTAAAAATAAAATAATACATTAAAGTATGAAAATGTAAGTTGTTGTATGTAAATATATTTAAATTATAAATAAAAATAAATTTTTTATAAATATTGTCTATAAATATTTTAAACAAAAATTTTAGTAATGACAAATACAGTAGTTTCACTGCTAATATATTATAATTTTATATTTTTATTAATAACTTATAACTAACTATACAACAACAAAAAGTAAATATCAATAAAAAAATATAATAAATTATTTTATTTGTCAATTAATTAACATATAAAACAATATCTTGAATTAATTTTACGACTATTTTCACTGTTTTCTATATTATTTTCAATAAAAAATAATTATATATAAAWATAATAATAATACTATGATATATAAATAATGAAATATATTATATAAATATATAAAATATACTATAATATTATACTAATTGTAAATAGTTTTCTATACATTGCTTACATTGCGGTCATCTAAAGGGGTCATCCATTTGATAACTTGTATGTTATTAAATAAGCATTGCTTACTATCATTATATTACTATTATTACTATTATTGTTAATATTTAAATAATATAYATTTTCTCATAATAATAATATAATAGTAATAAATAATGTCTTGACAGTAATGATTGCAAATGTTTGCGCTTGAATTGACTTTAATGCAAAACAAATAATTAGCACTTTAACAATAATTTTTATGGATAATCAAAATAAAGGAAATTATTTTTTTAAATCGTCAATTGAATAATAACTGATAAACAAATAGTAAATTTTTATATATGAATATCATATTTTGATTTATCATAATTTTATATCTACATAGTTATACATAGTTGTAGTATTAATTATAAATTATATTTAATAAATATTTAATGTTAATTATTTTTAATACTTTAAGATTAAATACAATAATAATTATAATAAATTAAAAGTTATTTATTAATTTTAATTTATTATAATGTCAATTCTATAGATTATTAATATTTTATAAAAATTGTAATGATATTTTATTATTATTAAAATTATTATTTTAATTATTTTGTATTTATGYTATACTGTAATTGTTATGTTAATTATTTTAAATAAACTTATTTCTAATACAACTATTAAAATAATCCTYTATTAAATAATATATTAACTATTCGACTATTGTTACTGTGAATAGTAAAATTCAAAAAAAAATAAAATAAATAAAATGTAACTAAAGATAAAATAAAAATTTATAAGTAATAAAATTATTAACATTAAATTTTAAACATATTTTCTAAAAAAATAATAATAACTGCATTTATAAACTTGACATTCATATTGAATAATAATTATAATAAAAAATTATAATTCTATTGCTATTTATTTATGTTTCACATCAGTTCACACAATTATATACATAAAACAGTTAACAGATACACATTATCTAAAAATAATAATAATTAAATATTAAAATTATTTAATAATAACAATAATCAAGGCAATAGGAAAATTTAATTATTTTATTTCTATTTTCTTTAAAAAATTGTTTTCAACGCAATGTAATGAAATTATTTTGTATTATGTTATTCAAAAAATTATTTTTAAASATATTTTAAGATAAAGTTATTAAAAAATAGATTTATCCAACAAAATGGAGAATAAATTTAGTTCATTTCCAGCCATAGACGCCAGTGATGATACACCCAATGCCATCAATGTTGACGGTGTCACCTATGGATATACCGATAGTTCATCTGTGTTAACAAATTTTACGTTACGTATAGTACAGGGTAATTAATGTGTTTATAATCTATATTAAAGTTATTAAAATATCATGTATTGAATGAATGAAAAAAAACATTTAAAATATAGGCAAAATTTTTGCACTGTTGGGAGCTAACGGATGCGGCAAAACAACAGTGATTAAGTTGATATTAGGTCGCATCAAACCTCGCAATGGTTTAATACAAGTGTTTGGTCTGCCGCCAGCTCACCGGGATCTGGGTATACCGGGTCCTGGTGTAGGATATATGCCGCAAGAAATTGCACTGTTCAATGAATTTACTATTGAACAGTGTCTCACCTATTTTGGTAAAATCTACAAAATGGACAGCCATTGCATAAATAATAGATTAGAGTTGTCTATAGAAATGTTGGATTTACCAAATAGGAAACATAAGATCAGTGAGTTAAGTGGTGGCCAACAGAGATTGGTATCGTTGGCAATAACAATGATACACTCACCACCGTTGCTCATACTGGATGAGCCAACAGTGGGCGTTGACTCTATCCTCAGATATCGGATCTGGTCATACCTGGAGAAAATCTGCACTAACTATGGTATCTTTTAATCAAAAAATAAGATATTTTTGTATTGTTTATTATTTAATTCTATATTATTATTTGATTAAAAACAGGTATTACAGTATTGATAACCACACACTATATTGATGAAGCAAAAGGTGCGGCAAACGTAGGATTTATGAGTAATGGATCAATGATTAGACAGTCTTCGCCCTATCAGCTAATCGTTGAACTCAACTGTCATTCACTGGAAGATGTTTATCTAAAATTGTGTCAAAAACATAATAAACGTTTACGCGATCAGAGACATGATAGACAAGGTGTCAATCAAATCATGACTACCGATACGATGCCAACTGAATCGACAAATAGTAAACCTATGTTAATCAATACTACCGGTACTTACAATCAACATATGATTGACATTCGACGTGTCGGTGCACTGATAGACAAAAATTATATACAATTCAAACAATTGACTTTTGGTATGGTATTATTTTTTATTATACCGTTAGTGTCAATTTATGCCACCAGTATTACCGTTGGATCAGTTCCACAGCATATACCAATAGCCATATATACCGGTGCAAATTTGCAGACCCGGCAAATGTCGAAAAAATTTCTCGCATCAATCGATGCCAAACTAATTAAACCAAAATATTATGACAATGAATCTGAAGCCATAGAGTCGATAATTACGGGTCAAAATATGTTTGCCCTGATATATCCGGTCAACTATTCGGCCAACTTTATTGCCCGACTGCCGTCGCCATTTGAGGTCAGCGATGAAACACTCAAGAATAGTACGATCCGCGAGTACGCCGATCACAGCAACCAAATTGTGGCCACTTATGTACGCTATTTATACCTACTCGACGGCTTATTTGAGTTTATGACCAAAATTGGTAAACAACTCAATCTTAATCCGACGGCTTTTCAGCGACCAATAGACACGTCTCGACCCATATTTAACGGCACATTCTACGACTCACATACCTATCCCTCGACGGGCATATTATTTATGGCTGTCTATGCATTTCCGTTGTGTTTGTCGGCATTTTTTATAGTCAACGACTTGCGAAACAAATCGCTGGAGCGGTCATATGTGGCGGGTGTTAAACCAGTGGAGGTGTTTGTCGTACATATACTTGAAATGCTTGTTTTGAATACAGCACTGGTATCGGAGCTGATGGCAATTACTTACTATTTGTTTGATATACCAGTGGACAACAATATATATCACACATTTATTTTACTAATGTTGCAAACAATGCAAGGCGTGGGCTTAGGATTATTGTTTGCACTGTTACTTAAAGATGAAGTCTATCTATTTGTATGTCTTAACATTTTTTTCTAATTATTTTATTAATAATAATATCAATAATTCTAATTTTTTTATTGTTTATTTATTAYCACACAATAGATAATATTAGTAGCCTTGGTATTGCCAATGTTTATATGTTCGGGTGTTGTGTGGCCATCCGAGGCTATACCACCGATGTTCCGATATATTACCGACTGGACACCTGTCACTTGGCCACTGGAGGCACTTCGGTCACTATTATTTCGACACGTGTCGCCACATAACCGGCGCGTATTGTTGGGATACTTTGTATCGATAGTCTATAATTTTATTTTATTTGTAGGCAATATCTTGTTGGTGACAGTATTGAAAAATTTTGATATATTTAATTTTATGCGTACAATGATTACAACTATACTCAAATATGTGCGAAACTATAAGAAATAATTTTTTAAATTTTAATAAATATATATATATTATTTCAAGAAATAATATATWAATAATGTTAGATAATATAATAGATAATAATAAAATATATTTAATATTCTTAGTAATTAAAGTTTATTATAATTAAATATAATGTATTGATAATTATGATCATTAATTTTGGGATTTCTTAAACATTTAGTTAGATTGAAATAGTTGTTGAAATACAGTACATGTAAAACATTTGTTTTATTATATTAACTAATTTTGACATATAGTATTACATTTTAAAAATTTTATTTTATTTTTAATAATTAGTTTATTTAATTTGAATTTTTTAAAACAATTATCAAATCAGTCGTGAATCACAATCATATAAAAACATAAAATGTATAGTCAGTGCTGTCCATTAGTATATATTTTAAGTATGTATTTTAAGGGTTTAAGTYAAATCGGTTGACCCAGAAATAGGTGGGAAWGTATTTAAAGTGTAATAAAGTCATAGAAAAGTTAAATATTTAGTCTATTATTGACAATAATATTRAATTAAAATCTATTTGATAATTAAATTATTACTTATATTAAGTGAAATATTTTTTAATTTAAGTTATTTTCAAGTAATTATACTTTATATATACAATTATAKTCTGAAAATTATTTAAAATRTTGTCAGTGATTGACTRTGTATTTTCATATATATTGAATGTTTTGAAAATGYTTTAACACTAATGATATAGAAATCAATCAATATTTTTTTTTTTTAATGTATTGGACAAATATAATCAAAAAWTTTTATTCACTTTTWGTTTTATTTAAAATGTATTCATAGAAAAATTCACAATCAATTTGTATAGTTTTATTTAATATAACATTGAAATCATTAATTTGTTTGATAATATCACCGGCAATGGACCAGTTATAACGTGTCTGTAATATATAAGAACAGGGAGGTCTCTCAATGAGACATGGATTCATCATTGAGACCAATATAATCATCAGATACTGCACTTTGTCTAACAACTCATGTGATGCATATTTTTTTAATGTATTATCACTGATAATCAAAAAACRGTAGTAYAGTATAACTATTTTAAATATTTGATAAMAATTAATATCATAAATGACTACTTACTCGTAAAAATTTAATTCAAACAATTCTTGTGCTATAATAGATAGACTGTAGACATCGGAACCTGTAGTATACTGTCTGCGAGACAGTACCTCAGGTGCCGTATATTTTAGCTCAATATCAGCATCGCTGGTATCGGAAGGCCGGTCATCCAGTTCGCCGTCAAAGCCAAAGTCACACAATTTTATATATCTTCCGTTTTGAACATTTTGGGCAATCATTATGTTGTCGGGTCTGAGCGCCCGATGCATTACCGATGGACGCCATTCGTGCAGATAGTGGACACACTCGAGTAGCTCTAGAAATATCTCACACGATATGAAATACTCGATGGTATCCATCGGTTTAGTCAACGATCGTTCAAAGATTATAGGTTTCAATTCAATAATATTCTTGAGATTATGTGAACAATACTCCAATTGTATGTAAAAGTGTTTGCCTTCAGGCCATGAGTTAATATATTTCAAGATATACTCTGACCTTAACTTAACTAAACATTTTAATTCATTGAAAACTTTTTCGTAGTATTCATTAGTTATCTCTATAGTTAATATAGTAAGTAAAATAATATATTAATTAAAAAWATATGAAAATAAATTAGACAATATTAATGATAAACTATAATAATGAAAATKATGAATTAATTATAAAATATTATTTATTATTTAATAATTAATTTATAACTTAACAAAAAAWATACTTTTTAATTCAAATCGTTTAATAGCATATATATCTCCATCGCATCGTTGTTTAACTTTGAATATTGTGCCAAAAGTACCGGTGCCAAYAGCACCCAACTCCTCAAAATAGCGCACATACAGGCTTTCTTTCGGCGCGTATGCRAAACGGTAGTCAGACATTAGTTTTGTTTAATATATGATTTATAATACATTTATATTTAATATTTAAAATTAAAAACAACGTAACTTAGATAATACAGTTATTAATATTCAAAGTATATTTWTTTAAAAAAACAATTTAAATAAATTAGTAATGTTTAACAATATTGTATAAAAACTAAAYATAAYWTTAAACACCACAYATATATACTGTATAWAAAATTACTAAAATAATAAATAAAATAAATAATACTCAATAATTTTTATGAAATAACAAAAATAAAACMATTTTTAAATATGTWTCAATAATAGTATACGACATTTAATTATCTATTGAATAAAACAAATAAAACACTTGACATACTGTACTAAAGTATATTTGYTAATATTATAAATAAAAGTTAATATACATGATAATGCTATAACTAATTTTATTAATGATTTTTTATCATAAATATTTTTACAGTCAAATGTTTGATTAGAAGCAATAATCATTGATTGCATATTATATTTAATGTAGTTTAACAATACTTGAACTTCAAATAAAAATACAGTAATTATGTAAATAAATATTTAATAGATAAATCGTGTGTGTAAATAAATATTTAAAGTTTATTTAAATAATGTAATTAAAATCATATCTAAATTATTACGCATTTTCAATAATATAACAAATATTAAATATAAATAAATCACTACAAATAGTCTGTAAATTAATTAATATGTGWTTTTTCACAATCAAAAATAACATTGTTTCTAATATTTTAAATAAATCATTTTTTTGACATTCAGTTTAGATAAATCAATAAAATATATCTAATMCTACAAAATAATAATGTAGTTATTTTGATAATATCTAATGTTAGCAATAATTGATAAAATTCAATTGACAYATATTRACTAAATTACTATAAATTGTATCAAATAATAATATGATAATATAATAATATGAGTATTTTCTATTTTAATTTTTACATTTCTACTATTTATTTAATTTATTAATATTTTCATTTTATATGTATAATAGTAACATTACATTACAYTAAAWTTTATCAATTAATAAATCTTATTGCTATWATTATATCAGTAGCCTAATAAATAAATTGTTATTAGACTTATATAATATCAYATGTCTATAGAAATATATATATATATTAATCAAATAGTAGAGTCATTAAATATATAGTGTAATTAAATTAATTACTTATCCAATTGTTTTTTACTATATTTTGGAAAAACATTAAAATCATAATATATAATATGTTAAGTATTGTATGTTTCGGTTGCATTATCTTATTTCCAGTACATACAGTATTTAATGTATTAAATCATATCCTGTATATATATAGAAATGTATTAAAATAAGAAAATAYATCAATAATCTCAATTGTATACATGATTTCYTGTCAATTGCCTGTCAATTGTATTYATTTACTATTAATATTGTATAATAATGTTATTTTATTATAATTACTATAAAATATTTATTATAAAAAATATATCAAAATTGCTAAAACATTTTATGTTTATTATGAAACTGATAATCACTATCAATGTTATCAGAAAATATTTCTTAAGACTTTTTGTCAACACTATTGTGCAATATTTCTAACATTTTTGCAATTTGTAAATATAAATATCAAATAAAACAAATAAATATAATATAATAAACAAAGTATTTTTTCAAAAAATCATAACTAATATGTATTTAAACAAAACCTGCGATAATATCAAAAGTATAGCAATCGACACAATCAGTTGCGGTACTAAATTAAAGTATCAATTATTATCATTAATTAGACCACAATTGTTACGTTGTGTCAAATTGTTGTTYATATTTGACACAAACGGTTCGGATGTATTGCTCATCACAACCGATGATGAAGTGTACGGATTTGGCCAAAATAAATTCGGGACACTCGGATTGGGTCACTACGAACAGGTAAAAGTAGTCACCCGAGTGGACACATTATGTGGCAAACAGATGTATCAATTCGTTAGCGGTTATGATTTTATGGTAGGTCTTACTGAATCGGGCGAAGTGTATACCTGGGGAATGGGACACAAAGGACGGTTGGGTAATGGTCTCAATGAAAATCATGTGTTTAAGCCCAAGAAAATTATCGTAGAGAAGGCCACCGATCTTAAAGTGGTGGACATTAAGTGTACGTATTGCTCGACAATTTTGTTGACCGATAGGGGACAGATCTATTGGTTCGGATATAAAGGGTTCAACAATAGTGAACAGTTGACACCAATATGTATTACCGGTGCCCAAAATATTGGCGCAATCAGTTCACTTGACTGTGGCGTTGATCACAGCATTGCATTGACCAACACTGGACAGGTGTATACGTGGGGCAGAAATGATATGATGCAATTGGGTTTGGGTCATAGCAGACAYGTCAATGTGCCCGCACTGATTGAATTGGACAGTAGTATTTTAATTAAAAAGATAGCATCTGGCTCCAATCATAATTTACTACTYACATCTACCGGAGCTATCTATACATTTGGTGGCAATATTAGCGGTCAACTGGGAATTGGCACACATGACAATCAAAATCAACCACAACTTATTGTAAGTCATAACAAGTTTGTCGACATCTATGCGAACGATCAGAAATCGATGGCACTGTCCGATAAAGGTTTTGTCTATATATGGGGTCAAACCAAAAAAAATATTATTGTACGACCAGAGCGAACTGAATACCATTGCTTTCAAACGGCAATCAATCACTATTTCAAACCAGTATTCACTTACCGGCCGCTAACCAATGACCAGTTGTTTGAACGCATCAATCGTGTTCAGCAAACAATTGCCGGGGCTTTTAATAACCAAAAATATAGTGATTTAACTTTTAARATACAAAATCGATTGGTTTTCGTACACAAATGGTTTGTTGTCCAGTGTTGCAAACATTTTGATCTAATGTTCACCAATGAATGGCTGGAAAAACGTACCAATATTATTGAGATCAGTGGACATACCTATGAAGGCTATTATGAGTTCCTTCAATATCTCTATACTGATGTGTTTGACACCAATAGTGTGGATRTACTTATAGATGTTTTGCATATCTCCGATGAATATATGGAACCCAATGTTAAGCTCCGGTGTGTGCAACACCTGAAACCTACGATTACTATGGATAACGTATGTACACTCTATACGGCAGCGCTTATGTATAACTCGACACAACTGGAGGTCTACTGTTTCGAGTTTATGGCCGACAAAATGTTTGACATTATTTCAACTGATTGTTATAAACAAATGCCCGATAAATATGCAAAACATTTGCTCACTGATTATGTATGGTATTTGCATGAATTAACCGATAGACAAATGTTTAACATTTAATAGATATTAATTAAGTTAATAAATTTTTTAATAATATTATTTTACATAATAAATTATTAAAAATTTTAGAAATTAATTTATTATGCAATAATATTATAACAGAAAATAAATTTGAATTTAATTGTAATAACTCAATARTATTGAACACATTTATAATATATAGTTATACAAATACTTTAATTATAAAATATTTGGATTTTTTTACAAATATTTTATATAATTATGGGAATAATTGTTTTTTAGAAAATATWTATACTCTAAGAAATGTTGTAAATGTCAATCAATTGTTTGTWAATTGATTTTTTGAGCGCACAGACATTGTAGAAGGACTGGTTCCCATTGAAGACATGTCACCAGTTCGAGTACCACCTCCAACACCAATAACGGCTTTAGGTGTAGAACCGGAAGCACTTCCTGCTTTGGATCCAGTCTTGGAAACTGTATTCGCATTGGCTTTTGAGCCAGTCTTTGAAGAAGTGATTTTTGTGTTGGATCTGTCTGTTAGTGATGYCTCTCCCACCCGAGTGATTGACGATGCTTTCGAATGACTGTTCATTTTATTGTTTTTATCTTTAGATTTGTCTTTATCTGATTTACGACAACAACARCAGATAATGAGTATAATAATAACGATAATAATAATTATTATTATAACGATTATAATCCATAACCAGTTATTGGAACCACTCTTTGCTTTMGWTTCAATTGATGTTATAGTTATTTGAGCACTGGATGTATTTGACTGACCAGTCGATATCGTATCATTATCACCGTTCGGACCACTAGTTACTGTTGTATTTGATTCTTCCGGTTTGTCGGCAACATAGATATGATTGCATTGATCTTCATCTTTGAATTTAAATAAATCTTTCAAAATATCCAATTGTTTGCCTTTATGTCCTTTGAACACACCGTCTTTCTCTGACTGTATGTCTAACGGCCAAAATGAGTCGCCTTGAAACAGGTATATCAATGTATTGTTAATATGTGTGATGGCATCGATAGTTCCCTGAGCCTCGAGAAAAGGTAAGATACTCTGTTGTGGATARTGTTTGCCYTCAATGGTAACATCCGTACAATTTCTAAATAAAGCGCTTAAGTCAACTAAACTGTACTTTTCTTTTTGTATGACAATCACTTTGCTATTGTCGTAGTTGAGCATTGCTTCGATAGGTTTGGTCCAATCGACCTGTGCTTTGCTAATACCCAGATGTTTATTATATGGCATCGGTTCCTCTGACCACTGTTCGCCTTCGACACGCAAATCATAAGACATAAACATATTGCCCTTTCCATCGATGTACTCAAAAAGATAAACTTTCATTTCGCCGGCGCCAACGCACACAGATGTTGTGTCCAAATAAACAGCGGCGTCTCCTCTCTTAAAACCTCCCGGCAATGGTAAACCTTCATCTCTGGGGGGAAATAGACTGTCCTTTGTATACCAATAGCGACCGCCACTCGTGAAGAACCACATCTGACCATTGGGTATATAGACTATAGAGTCGAGACGATTGCTATCTTTGCATAAATTGTTAGCAAAAGACAATATAACAAGTGATAAGAAGTATATCAAACAACAGATCACAGACTTGACAATCATAACTATTGTTTCAATAGTTATATACAGTTTATATTAGTCTATATATATATATATATATATATATATATATATATATATGCGATGATAATCACTAAGATTTGTAGAMAAATCACAGAAAAGTCAGTTAGAAATCTGATATCAATTAAGTGTTAATAGATTTAAATATTAGTTTTARTATTCAATCTCTTTAATAGAATTCAAATTTGTTTTTTTATTTTAGATTATTTACAACACGTGATGTGATGTTTTAGTTTTGTTTTATATAAATAACTAATAAATAATTGTAATAAATTTACTAATTTGTAAATTACATTAGAGTAACATTTAACATGCTGTTTTTTACKATTATATTTGAAAAAAGTTAATTTTTATTTTACTTAGTTATTTTTAATAGTGATAATAATTTTAAACATTTTCAAAAATTTATATTAAATAATATTAGTAAGTGGTATGCGGCACTTATTTAAAAATTATAGTATTAATTTAATATTATGATAAAATAAATGTCAATTAATGATTTATTCAATGAAAAATTGAAAATAATCATTTCTATGTCAATTTTTAAAATATATATTATTTATTCATTTTCATTTTTTCTGTTATTAACAATTAACCATTGCTCTGACATTAATATCTAACGGTCCAAATGTGAACCCATAGCAAAAGGTTTGTGCTCCGCACCAATAAGACTGGCCATCGTGTCCCGGTTCGGACAAACTAATTATATCAATATTGATAAACTTGTGGACCCGACTTTGCCGATCACGACTGACCAATATTTCAGTGGTTATATGATCGTAACAATTGACAAATTTTAGGCAATCCTTGAGATCGTTAGTCGAATTCATAAAACTTTCGATAATAATGGGTATCGTATATAATATGTTGTTATAATTTGCTGGGAAACCGGTCCCTATCAATGTTGACACCCCAACAACAATCACGGGTCAAATTAAAATGACTACGTCGGGCCTGGTTTATGGTTTCGGCCACAGTCTACATATTAGTGTAGTTGTTGTATATTATATAAGATTATCCAATAAKTTTTTTAAACCAATAAAKATAACTTACCATGGTATTTCTGACAATCTTGAGTCTGTTAATATTTTGTAGGACTGCTTTTTGGTCATAGGGTTTGGCGTAAAAGTACATTTGATTTGACACAAATATCTGGCTGAGTATAGTCATAMATGCTAACTGGGTSAATACATACATAAATTTGCAATTAAAATTATTTGGATAGTAATTTGTACTGTTTTATTATATAATAATATAATTAATATAATATTTATTTAATAGAAATTAGTATTTGATAGATCAATGAAAAATAATTTCACAATAATGTACACAAATCGTACACACTAATGTATATAATAAATGTTATATATTGATATATTCAATAATTTTTTAAATATTTATCAAATTGATGTGAGAATTTGTTTACARCATAAAAAATAAAAGTTTGCTTAAATGCTTATTTTATTATTAGCCTTGCATATTAGTAATAATATTAAATATATTTTTAAAATTAAAATAYTATAAAATAAACAAAATCTAGTTTTAAGCAAGTTAATTTAAAAGAAACTTTTTTATATTTTCTAACTAATTGTTTTTACTGTAATTATCTTAATATATTGAATAWAAATTATCTATACTATAGATTCTATGTATATAGATATATTTGTTAATAYAATAATATTCAATGGTTTAATTCATTTAATTCAAGTTAAAAACAAATTATTGATATATYAATGTTGATTAGTTTGAATTATTTGTCAAGGTATGTATAATCAACCCTAATTTATATGACCTCTAATTTAAASTASAGTAATGTATTATAATATTTATATATATATATATATKTTTAAGTTCAATAGCAATAAAAATAGTTTTACCAATTGATAGTATAATATTAATCTGTAATATTGTACTGCAAAATGTGTATAACGAAACTAACTTCTAATAAGATATTTTTATATATAAAACTAATTGCATAATTAAATACAATATAAATTTAAATTAACTTATACTTTACCGTTATTTATATTTGATATAAATTATACAATACTGTATGTTACACTTCAAATTTAATGAACATCAATCATAATTTAAATAATTTTAGTTAAATAWTTTAAAGTATTACCARTAAGTTAGTACTGTATTATAATATATATTATTAAAATTAATTAYAGTAAAATTCTAATTATAAATWTTATCACTTATTAATTTATTAAAATAATATTTAATTATCACAATATTATAGTTTTTATTAATAAATTTTATTCWTAATAAATTTAATACATTTTTTATCAATAAAATTAATAATTCATTACAATTTATTTTTATAAATAATACTCTTAAAAATTAAATAATAAATAATCTCTAAATAATTTATTGAAATAAAATATTAATTAAATTAATTTCTATTTCATTAAAAAATAGTGATTYATGTCATACAAGTCCGGCTTCTTTAGCCATCTTCCAGAACAATGACTGTTGATTCTGAAGCAAAGATTTTGGTGAATCAAACTCTTCAATTGATCCGTTATTCATCACTAATATCATATCATAGTCTAAGATTGTATTCAATCGATGAGCAATTGTCACAATAGTACAGCCGATAAACTTTTGACGTATTGTCTGTTGTATTAAGTCATCGGTTTCAACGTCTACGGCAGCGGTCGCCTCGTCCAACACMAGTATACGGCTTCGTCTGAGCAAAGCTCTGGCCAAACAAATCAGTTGTTTTTGGCCAACACTTAGATTACCACCGCCTTCGGTAATGCCGTGCATGAGTTGATCGGGSAGTGCGGCCACAAATGTTTTGAGATGAGCTAACTCGAGGGCTGACCACAAGTCTTCATCTGAGTACTGTTCGAATGGATCCAAATTAGTTCGCAATTTGCCACTAAACAGTACCGGGTCTTGTGGTATAATTGTTAGTTTCGATCTCAGATCATTAAGACCTATMCGAGATATATCWACTGAATCTATAACTATAGTTCCAGTGACCGGCTCTATGAGCCGAAACAGTGCCAAAGTAAGCGACGACTTTCCAGCGCCAGTCCGGCCAACTACACCGACTCGTTGACCGGCCATTACTTTGACATCAATATGTTTTAGCACTAAATCCAATTCACTTCTATATCTGGTACTGTAATCTTTGAACTCAATTAAGCCGTTTTGAGGCCAATCATCATCGGGTTTRGTATCTTTAACAAACMAATCGGCCTTTAAGTAWGAAAATAGAAAAATGATTATCATATCTAATATTATTCAATAAATATTGATATTTACTTCAGTTGGTGTTTGTGTATATTCWAGACATCTTTCAACAGAAACGATATCAGTTTCAAGTGTWGTGGCGGCGCCCACAATGGCATTCAAATTACTAGTAATTTTCATTGCATAGGTTAGAGTCAAGCCAGCCATACCGGGACTGATCGACTTACGGGTAACGACAATAAATAGTGAATCTAACAAAACAATAACATAGCCGAGAAACTCCAGACGAATGGACAGCCATCGATTGGCAACAGTAGACTCGTATGTCGTGTTGTGGTGAGTGTCGACTAATGTATTAAATTCGTTRATRAATCGTTCGGACATATCGTAGGCTCTGATATTGGTCGCACCCGACAACGTTTCCGAGAAGTGACCAATTACTGGCGACCGGGCGTTGGACTGGATTCGCCTCAACTGTCGAGATGTGCTRATATAGAAGCGCTGTATGAAGTAGTAGATAACACCTACWGGTATGATAGCCAACAATACATAAGGAGTCTCATAGCCAATGATAGCGAACGAGACTCCGGCGCTGAAGAAGCTTCTCATAGCACTCCTAATACTCATTCCCAACACTGTGTCRGAWGTATCGATATCTTTTGAGAACCGATTAAGTATGCGWCCCATCGGTGTAGTGTCAAAGTGAGAGATGGGTGCTCTCATCATACGCACCAACATTTCATTGTGAAGTATTTTGGATCCATTAAGACACGCCAATGTTATCGATATAGTGGCAATCAATGTGAACACTGTTTGGCCGCCTCCCAGTGCTCCGTACACCCAAAGTCGCAAATTTCTCAGCGACTCATCTAATCGTTTGATGGGATCAAGAGAGTCGTCACTCCATTTAGATAACCATAGACTCGATCCAAAGGTGAGTGCACTCAGCGCCACATCCGACAAGAAGACAGCAATAAGACTCCAGATTCCGATCTTTTTCAAGTACTCCACATAAACACTGAGTTTAACGGAACCGGTTTCGGCTTTTTCTTCTCTAATCAATCTTCCCTTTTCAATCCCATCAACTTTTCCCGCTTTTTCTTTAGGCTTATCAATCAAACTGATCCGCGATTGTGTTCTTTCTCGGACTCCTTCATCACTTGTGGCACTCTTTTGTCGCGATATAGTGCGYTGTAATTCTGGTTTAATTTTCGATACAATTTCATCAACGATTTCATTGTCTTCGAGCTCTTCGTCGGCCGAGTTTTCCAAGTATTGAACGAGAAAGTCAGCAAAACTGCCTTTCCTTTCGAGCAGCTCTTTATATGAGCCAAACTCCGATATCGAGCCATCTTTCATAACGACAATCTCATCGACATTCGGCAAAACTGATATCCTGTGTGTCACCAAAATTCTGGTTTTATGTCTCAATAACCCCTTGTGTCCGATAACGTCGTCGAACACTTGTTTGCCTACGTGTGCGTCCAATGCCGATAKCGGGTCATCCAATAGGTATATGTCGGCRTCGGCATAACAGGCTCTGGCCATTGCCACCCGTTGCTTTTGACCGCCTGACAAATTGATACCTTTTTCGCCGATTTCGGTTTCCTCWCCGCCCGGAAGTACTTCCAGATCGGGTCTCAGAGCGCAAGCWTCGAGCACTTTGTCAAAAGTCCGTCTGTCCATWGATCTCATAAATAGTACATTATTTTTAAGTGTCGTATTCATAATCCATGCCTGTTGTGGCACATAAGCAAAACTGCCRTTAACTTTAATCACACCATCTGTTTTAATCATATCGCCTAAMAGTGCCGACAACAGTGAAGACTTGCCGCAACCGACCTGACCCACCACTGCTATCAGTTTATTTGACCGCACTTTTAAYGATATATTGTTTAATACAGGAATTACATTGTCTTTAGACCAGGCAAATGATGCATCGTCTATAACCACTGGATCTTCAATAAGATTGTCGTGTTCTATAGCACTKGAATCCAGTTCCTCGCYATTTAAATATTTGTTGACTCGTTTAAGCGAAACTGTAAACTATCAKAAAGTTATCATAAATTTATATTAATGGTAATAGTATTTTCATTCAAAGAAAATACTATCAAAATAKATATATAAATACCATAACAAAACTGGTGATAATGTTTGGGATCATAGTTAAGGGAATGCCTAATATGCCAAACAACGATAGAGATACAAACGCTACGTTTGARTCCAGTATATTGTTTTTATCGATTAGGACATAGACAGCAAAACTAACAATTGATACCTATTTTTTAATGTAATACAATATCMTTAATTAACAGTAAATAAATAAATTATTGTCCATAACTCACCAATACTTGTGCCGAACTAAATGAGAACATAATGAATGCGTGTAAAAAAGCACGTGTAATAAGTTTTCCGATCTCACTGTTCCTCAATTTCATCACCTGTTCATTAAAWGACTGTTCCCAGGCATACATTTTCCATACTCGTATGCCCGACAATATCTCGTTCATTAACTTTATACGACTGTCCTTCAGTTTCATTAGCGACACTTGAATTTTGCGCAACCGTGTGGCCACAAACCCGTTCATCGGCATCAACACTATCATAATACCTAAACCAGCCAATGTGGCCACACCCAGTTTTTGCCACAATAGGTAGACAGCAATGATCACCTGAAAGGGCGCMGACCACATACTATTGACCATTGGTATGAACTCTACCACACGAAACGTATCCATTGTCATCAGATTCACTATCTCGCCAATTGTATACTGTTTTCGGCCATCATTGGACAGCAMCAAACTCTTTATGKACACAAAAAAAGTTAAATCAAATAGTTTTCTAATTAATGCTTATTTACCTTTTGGTACAATGTATTTGTCATACAGGAGCGCATCTTTAGTCGGATCAGTTGAGAGTAATACATGCTTTGTGAGSTAACAATACTAATAATCATTGACGATATAAATARTAGTARWGAATAAAAATATCCGCGCCATGCGGGTTGGGTCRGGTCGGACACAAATGTAATAAACCAGTCCAATAGTATAGGATTGATAAATGTCATCAATGTTGAGGCCAATTTAAACAGAAACAATACCAGTCCAAAAAACCAGTAGGTTTTCATAAGTGGCAATAATATRCCGGAACTTCGGGTCATTTGTTGGTCCTGTTGTATAACATTATAGTTTGAGCCACTGATGGGAAATATTTTAGTTGTTAAACATTTTCTAAAGTAGTGTTTGTGAAAGTTTAGTAAATTATTTTCGGTRAGAAACGACTTGTTCGGTGACCACATGTCCAACATTGTTAGCGGCTGTCKATAGCCCAGTCGTATTAATGGGTTTACCCACCAAAATGTCAGTATCGACAGTATTGATGCCCTGTTTTTAGGACATTCAAACTAAAAATTTAAATATAATGAGAGTTAAATATTACATATAAAAGTAAGAGTTGTTATTWATAAATATTTATTATACTTTTTCATTTCTTGATTTAATGATAACAGTATCGGCAATACATGAGAGTATCCATTGGACGACTAGTACGGGTGTGGTTACCATACGTATGATAAATATATGATCTGTTAGTGATTGATCTATTGGTTTCTTTAMACAAAAAATAATTATTAAGTTGTTAATAAWTTAATAACATATTATAAATACATTGCCAAAAATAATTGATAATAATGTCCTATAGTTGATGAGTGATGTYAACGATAGTAATATCCAGAGTATGAACAATGAGATCGATGTATGAATACCTTTCAGGCGCTCGTAATATATCATTGAAGATGATATTATCTTAATTATAWTAGAGTAATGTTAATATTATTTTTTGTGAAATTATAAAAAATTTACTTAAAAAACTTACAAAAGTTAATAATTTAATTAATGGTGTATAATAGGCAACAAGTGGTAATGCAGTCATATTTTGTAAYGATAGTATCAATTCAAATAGACTAAACATTGCTAATATTATTGATAATAACTGTAATTATAATTGCAAAATGWTGTTAATTCAGTAAAATTATATATAAATTAATTTTTAAACATTTTCACCAATTTTGATATATTCAAGTAAGTCCATGGAAGTGGTRGCYTATCTGATCGTATCGTATTATATAAYTCAAACACCGATAAGACCCAGAATAAGGCACAGGGAGTCCATGTGAGGGCTGTYTCTTGAAAACATATGGGAAAATCTGGATTATCTGTAAACCACGTTATGTTTAAGTCCTGTAGTTTTTTTAAATAAATATAATTCATTTATTATATCTAATTCAATAAACATACTGTAATTAAAAATTATTATTATTGCATCATTGTAAATGTACAGTATATTGCAATATTTATTTGAATAATGTACCGGTATAATGATACTATAAATTTATAAAAATACATTTACATTAACTAATCAATTAAATRTTATTATTTTTAGATAYACTGCTAGAATATAATAATTGTTATACAGTATTATTAAATATARAAATATAAAATTTATATAAAATAYCAAAAGTTATTGATATTATCTATTAAATGATTATTGTATTTAACAAAATATTTGTACTTAACAAATGTAATGTTATTAATAATAATTTTTATATATATAAAATCCAAYACATATAATTGAATTTATTTATTTTATTAAGTGAATCAAASCTAAAATTTTAGATACATATTAAACTTAATAGTWTTTTTGTTTTAATGTAAGTGTATTTATAAATTACCGGTATATTATTATAGCAATTAAWAAAATTGATGAAATCATTATATATATATGATATATATATATAATATAAACAATATATTATTTAATTTTTACAAACCCAGTATTTAGAGCCGCAAAATGAATCCATTATTAAACAATAGCAATCATATTATTGAAACTACAAACAAACAAAAGTAAACAATAAATTCAAATAATAAAAATTTTAAATAAATAAACAAAACATAATAAAACCTGATATACTGTACAGTAATATGACATACATTAGTCTAAAACATTGAGAAAACTACAACAGGTATGWTAACTGAACGTATAGTACATTAGACGAGAAATTTTTAGCCTTGAATTTAATGATTAATTCAAATAACGCCTTCAAAAAAAACTATTAAATTTCATTTTTATACTAAAGTATAATAATATGATTTACATTATATAAAAATTATTAGATTTGTTCAATAATGTACTCTTTTGAAAGTATTAATAATAACAATAATTTATAGATTAGCTAATTAGCTATTTTATTAAATATTAAATAAATAATAGATGAGTGCAATAATTGCAATTATTATATACACATTTTCAGTATTTATTTAATAAGTGGATTAAATAAATAGATAAATTACAGATAAATAAAAAAATATTATTTATTAATTAAATTAAATTAAAAAAAGTATTCATAAATATTTTTCTATCTTGATTTACAATTTATTTTTTAYTTATTAATTAAGTTTTTTTAATGAGATATAAATTATTTAATTAATTAGAATTAATATGAAAAATAAAATCCATTTCAATAATTATTCTTTGAATAGTTCTGCAAATATGACAAAAATAGTAAACGGTTTGCAAGTCATATGAAATAGCAGTTAAAATTTGTTTATTTCAATTAAAAATGTTATTTGAAAATCAAAGTACAGTATTATATATGAAAATATTGCTATATTTATTAGTAATAGTGTATCATATAAATGATTAAATTTGATACAGTATTCACACGATTCACTATTGATTTGATTGCTAAGAGCTTTAATATCAATGATATTATGATGCGGATGCTGTCGTAGCATCAGATGACTGACCAACTGGTTGCGGCAAAGCAGTGTCCACTACGACAAGTGACGYACCTCCCGGAGCGCTAGTTTTATAACCGCTGTCATTGTTGYTGGTGTTGTTAGCCATGGATTTTTGCATTTCGATATATAGTTTTTTACGGTTTTCRATGCCTGTCTTATATCGCTTATCTGCCGTWAAATATAAGATTATTTGACAGAAACAGATACAACAAATAGGTAACAAAAAACAGATAATGAAGACGACAGCAATACAACAGACAAATATGACACCAAACTTATTGTTGTCGTCATTCCTATCGGTYATTATATGTATAATTWAAAAAAATAAAATTTAATTAATTAAATAGTTTTTTAATAATTATAAAATACATTTTTTCTTATCGATTGACTGTAATCKCAATGTTTGACTTAACACAACAAATAACTGTTMMATTAGTTGATTTTTGCACTTAACCTGACTGTCCAAATATATTCAAAAGTACTGATAATTCAAATAATATTTTTTGWTTGTATAATTTCGTTATACTGTACATTATAWTCGGTATATGTTAATTAAATTATAGTGATTTAGTGAAACAATTAAGTTTATTACAAACAAATCGAGATAATAAAATACAAAAAAAATAATAATCGTTAYTTAAAAAWAWATTTAAAAATTTTCAAATATATCGTTATTAGAYAAACACTTTCAAACTAAATAGACCACTATTTRACAGTAACGGACAGTTAGATAAAATAMAGCATTAAATTTAGTTTTAATTGATATACAATAAACAGTGAAACATCTGATACCAAAAAAAAGAGATAATTRTTGTTTTGACACAMCTTTAGTTTGTGTTCTTCAAATAACAGTCAAAACGGCAGACAAAGRCAACGAAGGAATGGGTTTCTGGAATCTGTTTAAAGGTAAAGGACAGTCTTCAGGCCAAACAGGTGGCACTGGTAGTGGTAATGCCAGAGGCGGTGGCAAACCTGTCAGTAAAGTGCAAAGTAAAATATCTTCTGTGAATAGTAAAACACAAGTAAAGAAGACAACATCGATGTCATCAACATCTTCGACATCTAAAGCACCGGTAAAGAAGACAGCATCGACAATATCGACGTCATCGACATCATCAACATCTAAGTCACCGGCAAAAGTGGTCAGACCGGCACCAGTTAAAACACAGCCGGTTAGAGGTGTATCAAAAATACGCAAAACTAAATCAGTAGACTCSTTAAACAACGCATCGCCAACTAAACTAAAGGAGCACTTTAGCTCTAGACTCACATCATTGAATGGTCCGCTGGTCGGGGARATAGTATACGATGTCTGCGCTTACGTTATACACTGTCCTAYACACCAGAAGATARTCGTGGCCCAAGAGGTCAAATCCAAGTATATWTGGTTGCCGTTTGTCCATTTGCCGCCCACCCGCACCTGGAGCGAGGGTGCTTATGACGGCGCCAATATAGTACTGTCCAACGGCGACGCTCGGCTGTTCAAAAATCTTATGGCAAAACCGGCTTTCGATARGTTCAGTTGTATGGAGATATTTCGGTTACAATTACCGCAGACACAGAAGTTTAACATCAGACTTATCTATTACGTACGGGTGACCAACAAAAATCCCGCTTTCAAATGCTGCAAAAATACTGGCCGACTTCAGTGGTTAAGTGTATCGGARATTAACAATAGTAAGATAAAGACCAATCTGTGGGGTCCCGAAGTGAGCGAATTTTCCGCTCTGATCGGCGCTAAAAARTTGAGTCCGAAGATCAATGAAATCAGTTTAGACAAAGCCTTTATGTATGTGCCGCGCGATCCGCCCAGAAATCTTGAGGAAGAGATGCTTAAGTCGACTAACTATTCAGAGAAAGATATCGAGCGGTTGTATACCGATTATACCGAACACTGTTTCCCGGCCTTTGCAATGACATTGACCTCATTTAGYGATTATATGTCGAAATACGGCTTCGAAAAGATGGACAAAAAGCTTGATCTCTTGTTTCGAGCCTTCAATTACCAAAAAACAGGTTATTTGGATTTCCATGAATTCTTGTTGGGTCTGACCTCCATTGACCCAATGGCCCAAAATGGTCAGTCGCGGATCAAATTCATTTTCAAGTATTTYGATTTGGATGCAGACGGTTATCTCAATAAGAAAGAATTYACTTCAATGGTCAGCGAAATCTATCCGCAAGARAAGGGAGCGGCCATCGAAAAGAAGGTCATTGAGAGTATGAAAGCGATTGGTGTCCGAAAAAAAGGTGTCTTCTTTGAAGACTTCAATAAGGCTGTCGGTGCCCACAAGTTTCGCGGCACTCATGGTTTGTGTCGATCGAATAGAGCTATTGTCCAACAAATTTCTCGGTCAATGGCTAACCGAACKCTGACCAAAGCCACAACCAAACAGACATTTGAGACCGAAATGTTCAAACGTGTCAAATACGATGGCGTGTGCGGGTCGTGTAGAGACAAAAAATACAGTTACGCCATACATACGATGCGACTGGACATAAGAGGTCATTGGATATCGTCCACAAAGTTACCTGAAATCGATTCAATTGACACTTCTTCGTCTGGCAAAGAAAAATCCAATTCAAACAAAATGTGTAGTGTTTTGGGACTAACGAACAACAAGTTTTCAATAGATGTCGTGTGGAACCAGAAATCAATGGCCAATTATTTCATGAAAAARATACGCGAGTTTAACCAAACTAAAGGTACGCATARGGATAAAAAGGGACTGTTGTATRKCAAAGGGGAAAGGGAGSCATTTGTCAAACAGTTGGGCGAGTTTTGTGCACAGATGGAGAAAATAGTSAGTCAAGATGACCGATGCGCTAAAGCMACTTCACCCGCATTCATCATCGGTGACATTCACGGCAATCTCGAGGATCTGATGACATTGGAGAGAGTGTTGTGGAATAATTTTCCACTTGTRTCGGCCAACTTTGTATTTCTCGGTGATTATGTCGACAGAGGACAGTGGGGTTTRGAGTGCGCSCTRTATATMATGTGTATGAAGATGTTGGCGCCGGGAAAAGTCGTTATTTTGAGAGGTAATCACGAGGTAAGGGAACTGCAGCGACATTACACATATTACAARGAATGTGTCCGMAAATACGGCGATACTCTCGGAAAGAATGCYTACGAGATGACCAATCGGGTGTTYGACAAACTTCCGTTTTCGGCGGTCATCGACGATGCCATCTACTGTGCYCACGGAGGTATACCGAGAGACACACGAATGATTGATGACATTAACAAACAGAAGAACGATTTGCGTAATCCGGAAACAGAGTCRTCCATTGCGTGGCAAATACTGTGGTCGGATCCGTGCAATCAGTTACAGTTCAACGAGTCGGCCGAAYTGCAGGGCATTAAACCAGAGACTACAAAGGGATTCATACCGAACCAGAAAAGGGGAACAGCTTTTCTGTTTGCCGAAGACGCCATCAACAACTTTCTGCAGAACAACGGYCTCACTCATGTCGTCCGAGCGCATGAAGTGCCGGCCAAAGGGTTCMGATTTGATTTCGGCARCAAATGTACCACAATCTTCAGCTGTTCTCACTATTGCGGCAACAATAACGAAGCGGCYGTCRTTCACGTGGACAACGAAAAACTTCGTATTATACGTCTCGATACTGTCAACAATGCACCGGCCAGTGATTGATGGATCAGACAGATAGACATCACCGACAATAACATACACAAAGATATATACTATTTTATGTGTCCACTCATCACTCAATTTGCATCAATATTTTAATGTCCATTATTTTATATATATTATCTATCGTTATATTACTGYATAATATTATGATTTWAAAAATATCTGTATATTAAAAAATTATTTTATATAAATATTAAAGTTTTGTTTTGATATATTGATATATTTGAAAATATTTAATAGATTTTTATAAAAAAATAATAATAATTGAATCACAGATTGATTATCGCTTTGAGAATAGTTTGATAGAAAGGTTACTTTWATTMATTTWTTAGTTCAATCCATATGTGACTAAAAAAATGAAAGTACTGTTTAGCAATYAAATTGATTTATYAATTTGTTGTATCAATTTGTGTGTCAATATTTTTACAATATATTTTACATTTARACTTTTAGGTTTAAACTTAAACAGGTTTAATGRACTGTGAATGTAAGATTACATGAAATGCATTGAAAATATGTTTTCCCCAATGATTGCATAAGTATATCACTYATAATTTTTCACTTAACTAGACATACAATTAAGTGTAATAAACAYAWTATWTGTATAATAGTAGTGATACTGTAATGTAGCTATTATTCRATTGYATGATAATTACTAGCTTTAACACTGTATTAGATTAATACTAATATTAATTTAATAGCCATTCAAAATATTTATATTTTATGTAATTWATTGAACACATGTTATGAATGAATGTTTAATAAACAACTTTAAGACACTTTAATGGCTTAATACTGATTTTATTTAATAATTGTCATTAATTTTATTGAATAAAWTTTTTTGTAATATTTAAAGCCATATCCAAAATCGGATCAAATGGATTAATATTTGTCAATACGGTGACCACCATATGCTGGTCGGGCATTACAACCAACATAGTGGTCACACCGCTGAGTCCACCGCTATGCCAATAGTAACGCTTGATAGGCGCCATTTGACACTTGCCATCACAGGTGATGGGATGATCCAAATTGRTTAGTCCCCATCCATGTGCTAGTGATATATAATATGTTATACAGTATATAAAATATGTTAACTRATTATCAATAATGTTTGTGTCCAATGACTTACTATAATAACCAATACCACTGTAATTTCCCATTTCWATCACTGGTTCCCACAGTTTCTGCACTGTTGTTGACTTTAAGAGATCTGATAGAAARATATCATTAAAAAAATAATTAAAGATTAAAATAATTAATTAAAAAATTAGAAATAATTTTCTAAGGAAAGTATACCTGAATTTTGTTTGTTATAATAAGAGTTTATCATATAATTGCCGAAATGCAGCAAATCATTAGCAGTGGACACAACACCGGCAGATGTTAGCCACGAGTTGGCCGACCAGACGTCGTCGGCTATGAAAGCGTTATAGAGTTTTAGTTTGTCTTCGTTGATATGGTGTGACCGCAAATATGGCGAATCGCTTCGTATATAATAGCGACTTCTGTGGGCCAGTATCTGGTCGTGTCGTTCACATACCGTACCATTCATACCGAGCTCGCGAAACATGCGATTGATAGCCGTCTCGTACGGCTCATCAATAATAGACTCGATGATAGCGCCAACCAATTGAAAGCCATAGTTAGAGTAATTAAACTGAGTTCCCGGCGCCGATATAAGCGGCTCATCACGAAATTGTCTCACACTTTCGGTTGCATTTTTATAGTCRAGAAATTCACGAAAATCTTCGGGAAATTTGGTAACTCTAAGACCGGCCGAATGTGACATTACTTGTTCAACAGTAATCACAACATCTTTGCCCATCCATTGCTTGACGGGAAACACTTCGGGTCTCAAATAACTATGAATTGATTTCTTTAAATCGATTAATCCTTTTTCCATTAATCGACCGATCAGTGCTGTGGTCAACGACTTGCTAATACTGGCCATACGCCACACCGAGTCATCCCGAGTCGGTAAATTGTTTTCAATATCAGTYTCACCAAAACCACGGAYCATAACGTTCTGTCCTTTAATACCGACACCGACCACAACACCAGGTATTAGATTAACTTTTTGRACACTTTCGACATATTTCACAGTTTTGTCGATGGCTTTGGCAATATCCGTAACATTAGTTCCAATACAATGACAATTGTCGTCATCAGATAACTCATATAAATAATGTTCCGGCGATCGCACTAACAAACAATGTCCTAAATATAGTAAAATTATAAATAGATTTAATARTTTAGTCATTTTTTATATTTTAATTAATACTGTATATTGATAGTAATAATAATTTTTATTTTAATGTTATAATAATTTTTTTTATATAAATTTATATACTGTATAACTTAACTTATAATATAGAGATATTTCATATAGTGTATTACTAAATTTATATAAATAATAAAAATAATAGATAATACCTGTAATGATATTTATAATCACTATAAATATTATCTGTTTGTGAAATTAAACACATGTTTAATTTGATTCAATATATGATTATCACTAAAACAAATAAATAAAAAAACTAATACTATAGAAATCTAATTTTACACTTAACTACAATATTCAATATTTTAAAATAATATATTTATATAAACAGTAATTTATTATAAAACTATTTAAAAAAAACTATTTAAATCTATTAATTTATAGCATAATAGACATTATTACACAAATTTCATATCTTTTGTATCATTGTCTAACCATATATTTCTAGTTAGTAATTGTGATGATATTTCTATATTAACAACACAAGGCTTGATGGCTGAGGTTTGATAAATTGAATGTATAAAATGTGCAAACGATTCAATAGGCTGACCATTAATTTCTATAATTATCCCGTATTTTATATTATTGMTTTGTAGTTGTTCACTGTCGTCATTTAATTACCCGTAATATAAAATATTATTAATGTTAGTAAATATAATACTTATTCAAATGMTATCGATTGATATTATACTTTCCAATTGAAGGCATAATTATCTGATAGTAAATAAAAATGCGATTATTTTCCGACACAATTTTCATCCGTAATCCCATTCCAATTGAATGATCCCGAGTCGAATATCTGTCCGATTGTTAGCAAATTTGTTGGCCATTTCGCACATACCTTAATGAAAATAATTTCCGATTAATTTCTTGTGAAAGTTTAATTGATTAATATTGATATATATTKTATTAGTAGTAATCATACGGTAAATTTGACAGCCTTGTCCACCTAAAAAATGCTTATATCTTAAATTACCAATGCACGGGTAGCCCACAAATTCGCCCAACATATTGACAATGGCGCCGCCGGACATTCCCGGAACCATTTCGGCACTGCTTTCGATCATTACCCGATTGGCTACATCGTAGTGATGCACATAGTTTTTAACCACATCTCGGGCTAAAAGACTGACCGGACATATGATAATACCGGGACTCCAATTGGGAAACTTTTTGGCTGATATGGGAACTCCAATGGACATGACTTGATCGGCAAACATTGCATCGGCGTATTTGGCCGATTTAAGTGCCGAACCTGCCGATACAGCTACCTTTGCAACAACAATGGCCAAATCAAATTCTGGATCTGTTAACAATACTCTTCCATATCCTATTTTTATATTATTATTATCCATTAATGACAAATTGACCACTTGGTCTACAACGTGTGCACAAGTAATGAGATATATATGACTATTGGATTTAATATCAASTATACAAGCGGTTCCTGATTTTGCATATCGACACGCTTCCCACAAATCTYTATTTGCAATTGATAATTTRACTATTTTGGTCAACGCTTCCTCCACAGTATTACTATCCATCAGATACACCCTTTTAAAACAAATATGTGTCTGTTTTTGCCATAAATAATAACCACACAATGAAACAATTGGTAGATAAAATCTTTGATAAGAAAATGTTGATTAGTATTATTGTTTTGAATCTATTGAATATAATATCTTTTTGAGTGATAATAAGTTTTTAACAACCGATTAGCTATGAATCCAAACATTTTGTTCATTCTCTATGAATAATCAATCACTGAATCTTTAAGATATCATTAAATAATAATTTGTAGACAAAAATAATTAAATAAAAATACTTAATTTGAATTTATTATATTGATTTCTCGTGATAAATAATAAGTTAAAAATTAATAGCTTGYGATATCTTTATATTTATACTAACTGTATATTATATATCAAATTGTATTATATATTATAGTAAAACATAATTTTAATTTTAGACATTTAGCATTAATATATTGATGTTTTAGTGACATTTGTTGTACCGGTTATAAAATAAATTTCCTGTAAATTTTTAATTAAAAAACTAATTGCATTTAAATATAATTTTTTAATTAGTAAAGAAATTTTATAGTTAATAATAATGAAATTTTTAATTACTCTAAAATTTAGTCTAAGTAACAMCAATTAGCTAAAAAAATAAACACATGTTTTATTTGATAAAATAAATGATTACTAAAACAAATACTTTAGTTTACAAACTAGTGATACTCCMGGCCGGTATAATACAGTACAATAGATATATATATATAATTATATACCTAATTCTGTACCAAAATCTATATATATGTATCTAATTTTTACATTTGACTACAATATGCAATATTTTAAAATAATATATTTATACATTATGAATTTATACATTACAATATGTAGTACTTTATTATTAAAYTATAAATAACTAAAAAAACARTAAACTATACAGTTATACCAATGCACTACACATTGATTATACAAATTTTATATTTTCTATATCACTGTCTATCCATATATTTCTAGTTAGACGTTGTAGTGATTGAATTATATTTACAACACAAGGATTRTTGGCTGAGGACTGGTTGATTGAATTGATAAAGTATTGGATTGATTGAATAGGCTGTCCATTAATCCCTACAATTATCCCGAAGTTAATGTTAKTACCCTGTAGTTGTTCACTGTTACCATTTAATACAAAAATATTATTAATATTAGTATATAAATTAATTAATCAATAATATCGATTGACATATACTTTCCAATTGAAGGCATAATTATCTGATATAAAATAGATATACAATTGTTTTCCGACTTAATTTTWAGCCGTAATCCTAATTTTAATGAATGCTCTCGGAGTCGAATAGTTGTCCGATTGTTGACATATTTGTTGGCCTTTTGACACAAACCTTAATATAAAATATAAAATTTATTATTAAAAATAACAGTTTAATTGATTAATGTATTATTCGTAATCATACGTCCAATTTCAATGCCTTTTCCGCCATAAAAGTTTCGTTTTATTGAATTACCGATACACGGGTAGCCCACAAGTTTGCCCATCATATTGACTATAGCGCCGCCGGACATCCCCTGAACCATTTCGGCGCTGCTGTGGATCATTGTCCGATTAGCTACATCATAGTCATGCACATAATAACTGGCCACATCTCTGGCCAGAAGACTGGCCGGACATCTGATAATACCGGGACACCAATTGGGAAACTTATTGGMCGATATGGGAACTCCAAATGCCATCACTTCATCGGCAAACATTGTATCCGTGTAAGTGGCCGCTTTAAGTGCCGAACCTGCCGATACAACTACCTTTGCAACAACAATGGCCAAATCAAATTCWGGATCTGTTAACAATACTTGTCCATATCCTATTTTTCTATTACTAACATCACTTAATGCAAAGTTTACCGCTTGTTGTACAACGTGTGCACAGGTAATGAGATACAGGTGACTATTAGATTTAATATCAAGTATACAAGCGGTTCCTACCGGTGCTAATCCGCACGAATCCCACATTTCTTTTTTAGCAATTGACAATTTGACTATTTTGGTCAACGCCTCCCCCACAGTATTACTATCCATCAGATACACCCTTTTGAGACCAACAATATGTGATTGTTTGTTATGCCATAAATGATAGCTATTTATATGGAAACAATTAATACATAAAATCTGTTATTATTTTAAATMTWCAGTTTATTTGAAGATTGATTATAAGTTTTACAACCTATTAGCTATGAAACCAAAAATTTTGTTCATTGTCTCTGAATAGTTAATCAATAAATAGTATCAGTAAATAGTAATTTATAAATAATTTATTTGAATTATTTGTATTGATATCTTGTGATAAAATAATWACAGTTAAACACAAATAGATCGTGATTTCTATTTCAAATATATATCAATATATCTAATGTTGTAGACATCATGTTGTAATATAATTTTTTTTGTTAAATAAACATTTTTATATATRTATAAAAATATACTAATAAATTAGATAATAAATTAAATTAAATGTGATATTGATAATACTAATTGACATAAAATTTAATAATTAATTTATATTTATATGTTAATAACTTGTTTTTTATATATTTATTATTTTGTATYTCTTTTTTTAGATTAATCAAGTTTTCATCTTATTTCTTAAACCCTGTAGATATTTAAAGAGATAAATAAAAAAAYAAATTTTATAATATATAATATWTTACAAATTATATTTTACATTTAATAAAGTATACTTATGAGTAGTTATTTTATATTAATGATATACATATTACACTTAAAATCAGTTTAAGACAATTATTTGAACAGATATTACTATTATTATAATCATACTTATGCTAGCATTGGTAGTATATTTTGAAGGATCTGTAGTATAATCGGACTGTTTTTTAGTCACTACTGTTTCTGTGTTGAACTCTTTGCAATCAATTAGTGTTTTTAAATTAGATTCAATGCACTAAAATCGATAATCAATATAAATATATAGAAAAATATATCAGTATTATTAGAAATAAYAATATTATATATACCGGTATATCATATAAATAAATATAATCAATTATATAYTATATATATATATGACATACTYTTTGATATCTAATTAAAAACCAGCAATATTTAAGTTGATAACCATTGATATCAAAGATTACTAATAGTCCCGTCTCTTTATAGTAATCGGTTTGGCCATACATTGTTAGTATTGGCAAATTAGTTGGCAAACTTTGGACAGTCTTATTAAATCTGGGCATTTCATGGTTATAATCTAATGTATCAAATGATTTGCCATCAAAGCTAATGCCAAAGATATGGTAGTTATGTAACAAACGGTTGTATTTTTTATCGCTATTTTCATTGTATATTTGTGTAACAAATGGCATTGCATCCATTTGATCATCATCAATGACACGATAGGCAATGTATTKATTATTAGACAATTGTGGTTTAATTGAATACATTGAATGTCTTAGATTTTTGCTAATCTTATTGGACGTACCATTGAATGTTTGACCGAAATGATAAACATCAATAAACTCTAAGTTTGGCTAAAAGTTWTTTWAAAAAATTAATCAAATAAATCAAATAATTTATATTAAACAAAATTATTATTTAATTTTTTCAATACCTGCATAAAAGCATAAAAATAGTCATCAAATCTAAAATAGGAAAATCCAAACATATAATTRTCATTGAATTTGACTTTATTATCGTAATCACTGATTGAGAGACTCTCGGTCTTTGTATCAAATATTAGTCTCCATTGCAAACCATTGACAAACAGATAYAACATTCCCGACTCWGTTGGTGTCGGTATCTGTTGTAAACCAAAAGTATTGCTACGATTTACGGCTAAATAGTTATCACAAAACTCATTTGATGTCATTATTAACCAAATTTTATTTAAAGCTATCAGAAATGCTTTAATTTATTTTAAAAAAATGTTATTTAAACTTAAATTTATAATAAAACTGATGTAATTAACTAATAGATAAATAAAATTACCTGAATGTTTACAAAACATTATGTTATATTGCAATATTCAATTGTATTAKAATTTATAAATTGAGTACTGTATTCACTAATAAAAAAATAATTAAAAAAATATAATTAAAAATAATAGAAATTACTGTATTATTTGAACTATAAAATTATTATAAACACGAATTCAATAATAGTTAAATAATAATTATTTATTAATATATATTACATTATTTTAATATGTTTTTATATGTTTAAAAATCATGTATATTTTTATTTTATTATAATTAAAATAAAATTAAAAACGATTATTTTTTTTACTCTCTCTCTCTCTCTCTCTCTCTCTCTCTCACTCACTCACTCACTCACTCATTCTCTCTCTCTCTCTCTCTCTCTTTTCTCTAAAAATGTTCTCTCTCTCTCTCTCTCTCTCTCTCTCTCTCTCTCTCTCTCTATTATACAGTATCGATTAATGTACATTATCACTAACACTCTCTTCAATTTAATACATAAATAATATATATTTATATTTTAATTAATTAATTATTAAAATTATAATATATTAAATGTTTAAAAAAAATTGAACATTATTGAAATAATACATTTGTTAGTGTGTGTTTAATTTGTTTTATTTTATAGTTCAAAATATATTAAATAAATAATTATTTAAATAAATAATATAATATAAAATGTTTTTCTTTACACGTGCAATACTATTTAAAAATTCACTGTTTAGTCAACAATACATTTTATTTAAAATATTCATCATTAGTAATTATTTTAATTTTAATTATTTTTAATCAAAATATTAATCAATATACATATAAACATTTCTAATAAAAATTATTTAACCGTTATTTTAATTATTTTTAATTTTAATATCGAGAAAAGTTTTTTTTATATATATAAATAAATTAAACACACACTTAAAATTTTATCATTATTGCAAAAAAATTTTTTATTTAAACAAAACACAAAAAATAGTATACTGGTAGCAACCTATAGTATACTGTGAATGATACAATATAGCAAAATTTAGTAACAACATCTATCTACCTGTCCCTAAAACCTACCTGGGCTCAATAAGCATTTAAAATTTCCCATAGAAATAATATTGCTTTTAATAAAAATTTAAAATTTTAATTTAAAATTTTTGCATTTGAAAAAAATTTACAAAAAATAGCACTGGTAGCTAACCTACAGAGCTATAAAATAGAATATATTAAAAACTATAAATTGAAAAATATAGTTACACAACATCAGCCTACCTGTTAGCACTGGTAAAACCTACCAGTCCTCAATAAACATTTAAAAAAAAAATTCCCATAAAATAACATTATAAAATAAAAAGCAAAATATAACAAATATATTATTTAAATTTGAATTAAATATTTAAATGTTTTTGATGAAATGTGCAACAATAAATAAACATTAAAAACAGAATTAACAATACTTTTTATTTAACCGTTATTTTGATATTTTAATAATTTTAATCTATTGTTACGCTGACAAAACACAATATATATATATATATAATATATAAAGATTACAATTATTAGTATCTAGATATCTATCTATACTACTATATAATTTGGAAATGTTTGTCATATTTGTGTCATTATTTAATGTGTCGGCATTATTAATAATTTTAATTAAATAAAAAATTAATAAATAAAAAACGTATATAATAAACTGTAAGCGCGTAAGTATTGTTGCACGTGTTTTGAGCTAACTATTGATACACATTTTATTACGTGGAGATCTAACTAGTTATTGATAAAACAAAATAAATGATTACATTTTTATGTCTATATTAACATWATATTTTTGAGTTAGAAATAAATTGAYAAAACAATATAAACACAAAATATTAATAATAATTTTATTACAAAAATATAAAATAATTAGAAAAATTATAAATTTATGAAAACAGTTTCAAATTTTCAGAGATATTGAATAAAATAAATAAAAGATTTTTACATTATTTATCTAAATGTATAAATGATTGACCGCTAACTTCAAAACCTGTTGATTGTAGTGAACCCTGTCTTTGAATGTCTTGTTTTATTAGTTCATCTTTTTTATAATTATTTGTCAATAGTTTTGAAGTTTTCTTGTTTTTGTTATTATAACAACACATAACAATTGCGATCACAACGATTGCTAAAATTATTAAAATTATTATCACAAACAATACACTAATAATAACTATAAATAAGTTGTTATCAGTTCGTGAATCAGATTCTGAATCAGTTTGTGAATCAATTTGTGAATCAGTTGTTGTATTTAATGGCAGATCTGTTCTTCCAGTTGTCTCAGTTGACAGAAATGTTGTCTGAGTTTGAGTTATATTTTTGTTGCAATCTATCAATGACTTGAAAGTACAGAACTAAGTTTTAAACAAAATATAGAAATATATTTTATTATAAAATAAATTTTGTTTAAATATTTCATAAGTTATTAAAACTATTGAAATGTTTGAACTGAKAAAAACTGGTTTTACATTTGTTTTAATTGGTGTCCAACAGTATTTCAGTTGACGACCATTGATGTCAATTATGATCAAAAAGCCTTCGTCTCTATTTAAACTATTTTGGCCATACATTGCTATTATTGGATAACTTTTATCGATTTTGTCAACTGTTTTATTATAAGCATTCAAAATGATTTCAATCAACTCTGTATTAATAGACAACGATTTGTGGCCTAAGATTCTGTAACTATGGATCAGTCGATAGTATTTTTGGTCACTTTTATTGTATGTTTGAGTGACACAATTAATAACATCTGATTTAATATCGAATTCATTTATTCGAAAAGCTATATATTTATCATCAGATTGTGATCTAATTGTAGGCATTAAATGACCCAAATTTTGGATAACAACTGGAGTCTCATTATATGATTGACTAAACTTATAGACATCAAAGAGTTTCAAATTTTTCTAATAAATTATTAATATATAATAAATTGATTATCTCTTAWAGTTTATAATCGATAGGTAGTGTATTACTGYATTTTTATCTACAATACCTGCATAAATGCATAATAATTATTATCTTCAGTATTTAAACGATATGAAAATCCAAACAAGTATTGTTGTTTGAATTGAATTTTATTATCGTAATCACCGATTGTCAGACTATTGTGGGTTTTATCAAATATGAGTSTCCATCGCAAACCATTAACAAACAGATATAACATTCYCGACTCTTTTGGTGTCGATATCTGTTGTAAACCAAAAGTATTKCTACGATTTGCGACCAAATAGTTAACACAAAACTCATTGGAAGCAAAAAACAATGAAATATAAAACACAAAAATAATGAATACTATAATTGAGATAAATTAAAACAAAATTATCAATTATTTAGTATATGTTTTAAATGTATTGATTTAAATGTATARAAAATATGAATTACCAATTGTAKTGCTAAACATTTTTGTTTAATTAAACAGAAATCAATACTGTATMATATTTTATAAATATTAGTTTTACATTTATTAGATGTCAAAMATTATTTTGARTGTTTRTGTATTTTAAATTATAAWATYTAAATTACGAGACAATAATAATTCTTAATGTATGCTTTACATTATTATTACAATATATAATGCATTTGTATTTTAGCAAAATTAGTAAAATAAGATAAAAATTGCTTTTTATTTAGGATTTCTTAACAACACTAAWATTTTATTATAAAATACTTTATTTTATTGAMATCAATAGTCAATGAATGTTTAATTATTATAATAMTGTATAAATAAATGTTTACTATATTTTGCAAAACTGTAAATCAAAAACATTAAAATTGATATTACAATATTACTAYAGATTTAATTTATAATTGAAAAWTAATTWATTTTTATTAYATTCTAATGATTTTATGATAAAATAGATAAATTTTRMAAAAWATAAATCAATTTAAATCAATACGACATAAATCATGAATTATTTTGAATGGTGTTTAAAATCCAGTCAATATGTTTGGCCACTGGTATCCAATACAATGCTTTAGTATTGTCTGCACAGCCAATAGTATAGTCTTCACGATCTCTATTAATGTATATTCCAACCAAAACGGCCCGTGTCTTGGAATTGTCAGTATATTGTATTATACCGGCACCGGTATCACCCTTTTTTAATTAAAAATTTAATTAATTAACTACAGTTAYTTTATTATACAGAAAAACTGGAAAAATTCAGTTAATTATTAATAATATACAGTATGTCTTACATCACAACCGGTAGTATTCATAGTAATGTCATTTGATTTTAGTGAACACAAAAAATTTTCGGGACATTCGTTGTTTGCATTCAACAGAAAATTAGATTTTTGAAGAATATCTGGTGATATTTGCCAATACGTAATAGCAATCGGTTCCATACCAATTGGTATGTATTTAGATCCACCCCAACCATACATTGTTGTTAACTCTGGCTTAATATTATAAATGGTATGATTGGTTGGCAAACACAACGTGTTGTTGTTGACCGGATAATTRATGYCATCTTCTATATTGATATCTACACTTTGCCACAGTTTATACAATGCTATATCATATGAACTAATCTTTTGAAATTTATTATAAAATTTGTGTCTAAACACATGCTTTGGATGTATGAGTACACTAATGCCACCATCTCTTCCGGGTCTACTGTCCCTTAAAAACACACGTATTCTTGAATACTTATTTGGTTCACTTGAACTCCTTAATAATAATAATACAATAATATATTRATTATTAAAATATATTMAAACAAATATCAAWACATACTTATAGTTACATTGGGCAGCAGTTATAACCCACTGTTTATTTATTAGAGTACCGGTGCAATCATTGGTAGTAATAGAKCCCCATGATGAATCGTATTTAATGTAAACTGTCCATGGTGATTCAATAWATTCRGTATCACTACCACCATATATTCTGTTAGTATTACTCAACGGTTTAGTACCAATACTGTCAACAATTGTTGAGCTATTTGTCTGATGTTTGAAACATTTTGGTTGTGGTTTTACTTTTGTCTGACTTATCACATATTGATAGCCACAGTATTGACTGGTAATACCAGAATAGTAACCAATTTTAACAAACGCTGGCGAAGTGTTTGATATAATTATAAATAATATTGAAAACAATTTCAATAAATGCATTTTAAGGTATAAAATGTATAAATAATGAGTAGTTACACTCAATTAATTAATTATTCGTTAACGCGTGATATCAATACTTTTCAAACTTTGATATCTTATAACTCTGGAAGTGTTTGACCAAAAATTGTTATTAAGATATCTAATTAAAGATAATTTATTACAGATTTATAAATACTATTCAGATTTACAATTAAAACTTTATATCAAAAGATATATCAAAAAATCAACGACAAGTCATGTAATCATAGGTTCAAAAAGTATTCGCTGATACACTTTCAAATCAAATAATTTTAATGATAAATAAAGAAGTGATGTCTTAATATCTAGTATTCCATCCGTTTGCATCAATCACTGCCTGTAGACGTCGAGGCACACTTTGGATCAGCTTCTCGATGGCCTCAATAGGCAAAGTGTTCCACACTTTATGTATTGCACTTTTAAACTCACTAAAAGAGGTTCTGGAAGTCTTCGGGATCTGTCTGTCCATCTCATCCCACACGTGTTCAATGATATTTAGGTCAGGACTCTGTGGAGGCCAATCAATGGTTTCAATGTTATTGTTCTTCAGCCAATCCTTTGCCTTCTTCGATGTGTGTTTCGGGTCATTATCTGCTTGGAAGACAAAATTATCTCCCAATCCAAGCTTAAGTGCGCTTTGTCTCAAATGTGGATCTAATACACTATTGACATAGATGTTGGCATTCATTTTAGTAGTGATTTCTACGAGATGTCCAACTCCTGGACCAGCGACTGACCCCCAAATCATGACTGATTTTGAATGTTTAACAGTCGGAATCACATTTTCCTTGTTTAGCCCTTCAGCTATACGTTTCCAGCGATATTGTCTTCTTTTCGTGTCTTTCATCTCAAACTTGACTTCATCTGACCACAAGACGCGGCGCCAGTAGGTCAATGGCATCGGTAGATATTTACGGGCAAAGTTCAAACGTTTGACACGATTTCGCTCACTTATCATTGGTCTCCTTCTGGCCACTCGGCGATAAAATCCCATTTCACGCATTCTGTTTCTCACAGTGTTTGGACAGCAATTGACATTTCGCTTTTTCATCTGTTCTATTATCTCAGCGGCGGTCAAACTCTTATCTTTCACTACAAGTAGTTTCATACTTCTGTCATCTTGAGATGTCGTACACCTTTTACGGCCACTTCTGTGCAGATTTTTGAATGTACCGTACTTTTCATATTTATCAACAATCGATCTAACAGTGCTTCCAGTGGTTCCGAAGCGGGCACCGACCCTATCAGCAGACAATTGTGTCCGTGTCTTCATTTCATATATTAATTGTCTTATTTTTTCGGGTATTTCTTGAGTTTTGACCATTTTATCGTTAATAACCAATTTGTTTACTTAAGACAACTTATTTGATGAAAATAAATCACAAACCGAACGATATAATCGCAACAATGAGTCTTAAATCACGCTCTAATTGTTATCAGCGAATACTTTTTGAACCTATGATTACATGACTTGTCGTTGATTTTTTGATATACCTTTTGATATAAAGTTTTAATTGTAAATCTGAATAGTATTTATAAATCTGTAATAAATTATCTTTAATTAGATATCTTAATAACAATTTTTGGTCAAACACTTCCAGAGTTATAAGATATCAAAGTTTGAAAAGTATTGATATCACGCGTTAATGAATAATTAATTAATTGAGTGTATATATTGGCAGTTGTATAGCATAACAATGACTTGTTGTCTTGCGATTAATATTTCTATATATTTTAGTTAAGTTTAGATTATGTTAATTCGCGCGACAATAAATGTTAGCATATTTACAATAAATTAAAAATCATTTAATCAAAACTAATAAAAACGGTTATAAAAAACAGTTTTCTATTTTTGAATATCATTTTTGGTCTCAGATTTCTATCAAATAGTCATTTTATATCAGCAGTTGTCGTGTTTAACATCCTATCACTGATTTTGTCACATCATTTCATTCAATAAACTAAGTGCACACTTATGTCTACCATTACAATGATATCGTGTCTTATTTATGTGYTATCAGTGACAGTACTGACCAGTGGTCACAATCTATGTAAAGACGGTTCYCGTATTGATTCCATTGCTTACATCTATTCTTCGCAACAGTGGTTCTTCACGAGTGGMGGTCGCTATTGGTTTTCAAAAGATGGCGATTTTCCGCCCAAAGATGAAGGCACACCACTTCCCGGTGGCTTCAAAAAAGGCGAGGCCGCCATATTTAGGAACTCATTGGAGGCMTGCGCTAACTCACCGGAGCCGAGACGGTCCGAACGRGAGATACAAGTGATTGAGTTCGTGCCCGGAAAGGGAAATATGATTATGACATTTGATACCCGATATAACACTTGGTCGCCTCAACCGATTTCTGTGTCCGAAGAYAAAGGTCTCAGCAAAGCGCAGATCGATTGGTCAAAACCTATTGACRCKGCGCTCGACTAYCAGATGAACAAAGTGGTGRTCATTCAARAKGGSAWMTAYAGTTTGGTTGACTTAAGTGATCCAAAGTTTTGTATTACTAACAACAAAGTTGAGGGCAAAAGTTATCCAAAAGAGCCGATCGTCGAATCTTTCGGTGCTCAGGGAATCATCGATGCCATCACACAATTGGGCAACAAAAACAACACACTCTACCTGTTTCAGGGCGACTCATTTTGGCCGGTGACCATCCAAACCGAAAAGGACGGCAAAATTAAAGGCATTAAAGGCGACCGATTGAATGTCTTRAAGCATTTTTTCCGTTTTGTTGAAGAAGACAAATGTATTTATCCCGACGCAGATAAAGAGGAAGCACAGCCAACAATTGCTGGGCCCGGTKCTMWRGGTCAAAAGGATGCCATTACGAGTAATGAGACAATTACTGAATCMASTGATGTATCATCAGAATCACAAACAGAGTCACAGAGTACGACAACKTCTGAGTCTGAAAAAGATGGCAATAGTTTTCCGTGGTATTGGATTGTCATCATTATAATCATTRTTATTATTATTTTACTTATCATTATCTGTTGCTGTTTGGCCGGCAAAAGCAAATCGTCTAAAGATGACCGAAGCAGTAAAGACAACGAAGCTTCTGCTTCCAAAGCACAGTCTACTACCGGTGCRACTGTTAGATCAAAATCTGGAGTAGAAGMTGGAAAGGTTAGCTCAAAAGCTGAATCAAAAACAGGTGATGCCGCTGTTACTACTAGATCCAAAATGGGAGCAGCTTCCGGTGCCGGTGGAGCAGCTGCATCAAAAACTGATTCTAAAACAGGTGCTGATTCTGCCACTGGTGGTTCAGCTGCCGGTGCAGGAGGTAGTGCAGCGCGTGCTAGAAGTGGAGTAGCTGGYGCTGGAGGTAAAGGAGTCGGAGCCAAATCATCTATGGGTACGAGCCCTTCAACAATGTCTGTGCGTTCTCAGCATTAATAAGTGTATGACATAAACCATCGCTTTCAAGACATTGCAATTCAAATGTYATTTATTTTTAGTAATATTTAGAAATTTTCATTAAATCCATTAATTTGTTATATTCTGTTTTGACACCAAATATTTACAAAAAAAWATTTTTTATTGTATTTTTATATATTTTATTATTTATTTTATTCTATATATTGTATATTMAAATAAATTATAATTTAGAATTTTTTATATATTCTTAAAAACAAAATTCAATTTAATTGATGACTTCTATCAGTGTTTCAGAGTTAGTCCTTTCATACGATAAAATAGTATATAAGCGAAGTGTTTGAATGAGTTGGTGTCTGCCTGTAGGACACATTCATCGTCACAGCACTTCCAGTCTTCATTTGTTCGCACATTTGCCACGTAATGGCCTTTCAGAGCACTGCCCCGATGGCTGACAATCACAAACAACTCGTATGGCAGACCATTGAARCACAAGCAACGAATTGTGTCGTAATGAAAGTCGACTTCTTTAGTTATTTTTGAGCCATCATTTTGGAATCGTTTCAAATTAATCGTCAAAATGGGTGGACATCTGTCAATACATATCTTTTTTACTGACTTTCGTTTTTTACGRCACTTATCACAKGTAGGTCTCGACTCGCCATCCAATATCTCGTCTGACATATAAGCTTTAAGACATTCGTCGAGTGAGATGTTGTTGTCTGGTTTGTCGGGTAACGGTACAGATATATCCCAAAACACTTCCCATCGGTGACTCTCGTGATGACATCTTTTGCATCGTATKGTTGATCTCTGCTGACCAACAAAAAGTTGTACCAAATATGAGTCGTCCATAWAGTGTCGATATTGAAGCCACGCTTCTCTGGCAGACTTGGGTTCAAAYAGTTKTGTCGGTCTTTTTCTCTCCTTTGCTTCATTGACTTCTTCGTGCAGCGCATCGACTAAAATCCGGAGAAACTCTTGTGAGTCCTGTTGATTAAAATTATTGAAATCTGTCTTCAAATCTGCAAACACTTGCCGAAAGTCATGGACGTCCACAGACTTTGATGAGCTGTCMTCTGAAYTGTTTGTCATTTGRTTGCTGTTGTCTTCGTTGCCGACTCTAATCATTTGTCTGAATAGGACAGACAGACTCGTGTGAATCGCACCGTTAGCTGACTTTCCGTAATTCAAAATATAACTACGAAARTCATCGATGGARAAGAGCGCCTGAATTATGGCATTCATATAACAGTGATTTACGTGATTATTGAGACCAACGAGTGCTATCATTATCTTATTTTGTTTGGATTTTTATCTAACGATATGATTATCGATTGGAAAAAAGCTATTGATTTCTATAGTATATAATAGATAAACRATTAGATAATATAGTAATTATTYAATAAATTAATTTTTATTAATTACCAGAATCTAACAAATRTTAAACATTTGATTTATTTTGAATTTWAATTATTTTTGCGCGCTTAACACTTGTAATAAAACTATTTAATAATTTTATTAACTATTAATATATATATGTTATTATATCGTGAAATWAATAAATTTTAAAACCWAAATTCAAGTGATAATTAAGTWGTTTTTATATATTCATAGATTTTTAAAAATATTTARTGACAATATGAATATCCAGTTATTAGTTATCACTATTTTTATAATTAAATTACTAACCATTTTGTCTGTCATTGGGTTATCTGATGTCAACAACAACAGTCAACATAAATGAAAGTTTGTCTATCGGTGCCAACAATTATAGCAAAAATGGTAGTAATTTGGTTGTGGAAGAAGCGGACGAAGATGAAGATCGTAATCTGACGCTATCTGAAGATAGTATTATGTCTAATGTATTCAATAAGTCGGGTATTCAAGACCTGACCGATGCCTTCTCGTTCACGGGAAAGAATGACGACGAAATCCAAAGTGAATGTTCATTACTTAATAGTAACAATAGTTTGGCTCAACTCATACCCGGATGGGAAGGTATTCCCATTAATATTGCCATCAATTTTGTTGTCGGATTTGTATGTATTGTATTTTCTAAAAAATAAATGATTTTTTGTTATCATAAAATTAATATTTCCATTGAATTACTATAAATATAATCATTTACCAAAACAAACAGTTACTTCTTGTGGCTTTCGGTATTATTAGGCGTTGGGTTATTGTCACAGAAAAAGATATGTCTAATCATGGATTTAAAAGAGCCCTAAAAACTAAGTAATTATTGAAAATCGTTTTTTTCATATGAATTTTCATTCAGTAATTAATTTTATAATTGAATAGTTGGCTTCATTTCATATATGGCAACAAAAAATATAACGACAATATCTACTATTCAATGARACATATCAATCGTAATCATCCGAAAGCCTATCTTCCTCTGGTTTTGCACGGATACGACATGAAAGGCAACGACTTCGACGATGACGACGAMACTACTGTCTCCCCTGAAGTACCACTATTTATGACTTCTATTCATTCTCAACAATCGATGAACAATAGTGATATAAAAACSGAAACAAATCATAAGAAACAGGACTGTCCTACMARTCCTGTCTCTAATGAATCAAATCCKGGAAAAACACTTCAAAGAACCAAAAGTGAATTAGAGATCGCAAACGATCAGCTRAAGATTRCAAGACTAAAGTCAGTYCTTAACAGYGACTTAAAGAACGAAGAAGACATGACATCTAATTTGGTTTTCAAACTAAATTTGTTTWTAWCATTAATTATTTGTTATGTTTAACTAATTTAGTTTTATTTTATTTTTTATATATATTCTCAGATAAATTCAGACAAAACTGCAAAGACATTCAAACAATGGATTGTAAAATATTTGCTAATTAAAGACATCGATATATTGAATAAACGCGGTTCAGATGCCATACAATATCTAGTGTTTCAGCGATTTATTATCTATTATCTCACATTTATGACAATAATTTGTTTAACAATTATAATGCCATTCAATTTGGACGGCAGTCGTCTCGATAATAAAGATAACTTATATTACCGAAAGACAACTACACTCAACATTGAACAAAACTCGTCAATGATATGGATTCACGCACTCATGACTATAATGATTGTAATTATGGTATAATTATTRTCAATTGATATCACATAATGATTGGATCTAATCATTGATTYCTAAACATTGTTTCTAATATTTATAGGGATTTTATCTGATGAACAACTTTGAAGAGATGATCGTCAATGAAAAAGATCTGAACGTCGATAATAGGGTTGTATTGATTGAGAATATTCCTGAAGAGAAACGGGACGTGAATTTGTTGAAAAAGTTTTTGTTGCAAAAGTTTCCGACGGTTACCATAATTCGCATTACGTTTATCTACGACACAAGTAAAGTGATGTCAATGATGACACAGATGTTGACCACAATGGAGGCCAAGTCTTACTGTAAGTACTACTTGAAACAGTACGGCCAACGRTGTGAAGTCAGACCATACACTTTAGGCAACTTTTTGGGCATATTTTGTTGTTGTCTGTGTTTTCCCAAAGTTGATGGCATTGAATACTATAGAAAACAAAGAGAAGAACTGGACGAACAAATTACAACTGAACTCGAGGTGACGGCATCTCATCCGACACGTATGGCTTTTGTCATCTTTGCCAACGAAAATAATGCCAAAAAGTTTGTCATAATTTTTKATTTTTTTGACACTTAATTATTAMATATTGTTAACATTTATTTGTTTGTTTTGACATCAAAATCAGAGTTTACGATACATATCACMGCTATTTGCCGTATAGTATATCAAAATTGATTCAATGGATCAGAGGTCCGYCGAAAGATGACTTCAATTCGTGGACATGGATTGTATCTTATGCTCCATCTCCTGATGATATTGATTGGTAATATTGATTGAAATTTTAAACAGAAAAACARTACAAAAAAAATTAATGAAAATTTGTTTMTAAATTAGGAATCAGATAGTAGTCTCACCGATGAAAGTCTGTTTGTCGACAATTATCTTCAATTTGTTAATAGTTTTGGTCTTTCTATTCCTTTCGACTCCCAATTCATTGATTAATATGATTAAACTGTTGCCCAGTATTAACCAAACATTAGTCGAAGAAAYGGATAATCAGGATAATGACCAAAACGAAAATGTAGACAAAGTGGTCAGTCATTATATTTTCAGCAATTTTTAAATATCTAATAATAATAATAATACAAACAATAATATTTAAATACTTTTTTTGTTGGTCAGTCAATATTGTTGAGCTCCTATTTGCCAACAATGGTAATGTTGATATGTTCTTCAGTGTCGCCATTGTTTATAAAGATATTCAATCAGTTTATCCCGTGTCGCACAAAATCGGACTATAATTACCAAATTTTCTATAAGTTCTACATATTTCTTGTGTTTATGGTATTGATATTACCCTCACTGTCTAATCTAACGTATGTTTGCATASATATTATCCATTAACATAACTGTTTACTTAAAACAATAATTATTTCTTATAAAGTCTATATGCAATATTAAAGTCATGGGTAGCAGTGCGCCGCCTAAGCTGGCACTGTATATTTCCAACAGATAACGGCCCATTTTTTCTCAATTATGTGGTYGCCTCAGCACTGGTAGGCAATGCCATGGAGCTGACTCGTATACCCGAACTGGCTATGTATATTGTAAACATGTTGTTTGTATCGCGGACTCCGGCCGAGTATCTGGCGGCCCGACAAGACATCCGTTTTGAGTTTTTTTTCGGCATATTTTATCCMAAGATTTTGTTAATGATAGCTATTGTCAACACTTATTGTATATCAAATCCATTTATAGCACCGTTCGGTTTGTAAAAACACATTAATTYAATATTTRCCAAAYATTTCAATAATTTATATATAACTTTAGGTTTGATTTATATAATAATAAAACATTTGGCGGACAGGTATCTGCTGTATCACGTGTATGCGTCGTCACSAATCAACCAACGGATGCATAGAAGTGCCGTATTTTTTCTGAAGTCATCATTGGGTTACTTACTGTTTCAGGTGTACTTCAATTTGAATGGTAAGACCAATAAAAATCCATCGTTTGTTATATTAATAGCTCTGATATTACACTTATGTTATGTAATATTTAAAGGCCTCAGTCTTATTATATGCTCTTAATTATTCATATTATTATTATTATTAAACTATTGATATATTAAACATTTTATAATACTTTAWAAATATTTTGTAAATTTAATAAATTTTAATAATGATAAAATAAAATCAGCAAATGTGAAACTATTTAATTAAATGTAAAAATAAGTTAAAATTTTAAAATTAAACAATAATTAGTTTAAACYGCCTACCATRGTACCTAATCTAACAAAATTACAAACATAATTTAATARCATCAAAACACATTTACTCGCCTAAAMTCTTAAARCATTTTAGAGATTTTATTTTAAATATGTTAATAAAAATTTATCATTGTTAGCTAGCCTCCCGGTGCTATATGACACATATCTGTTAAAACTGTTAACGTATTAAAAATATATTAACACATGAAGCGTCTAACTGTCTCAAAAACATGATATATGAGTCATAAAGCACGGGGAGGTATCAAACAAATTTTTTTTGAAAATTGTTTAATGAATTCTATGTGTGTGTGTGTGTGTTTTGTGATCAAAATTTCAGATTCATTAGATCAGCGAAAATAAGGTATAGGGGATAAACATTAAAATTTTGATATCTCTTCGGGAACATAGAGAAAATGGCTTAAAATTTTTTTAAATAGATTTGAATAAAGCATTAAAACAAGCTTAAGAAATATGCATTAAAATTTTGATTCTCTTCGGGAAATATGTTAATAAAAAAAAATTGAAAAAATTTTATCATTATAAGAAAGGTATACGAATCAGAATTAAAATCTTAACATCTTTTCCGAAACATAAAATGGCGGCCAAAGTATAAAAATATTTTGTTAAAAATCACCAAAATATTGCATCACCAGAAATATTGCATCACCAGAAATATTGCATCACCAGAAATATTGCATCACCAGAAATATTGCATCACCAGTTTATACATATAATATGATATAATGACATGGTAATGGTTATTAGGAATAAATATATTGTTTATAATATGACAAAAACAAGTAATTTACGTAATAAAAATTTGTTTTTGGAATGGTTCTCATTTTTTTAATTAAATGCATTTTTTGGATGTGATTTCCATTTTTATTAGAATTATGCAAAAAAATATTTTATAAATAAAAATAAATTATACAAAAATTAAAACTTTATCAATGAAAAAATTAATTAATTGAAAAAATACATTAATTAAAAAAATACATTAATTAAATGAGTATTCAAAAATCAGGTATTAAAAATAATAAAATGAATATTGAAATATATATATATAAAACAAAAAATTATATTAAAATATTAATGTCAAACATTCAATTAAATGCAATCACACGGACAGGTATTTATTCATAGTGTCGGCGATTTGATGAAACATCATATTCATGACACTATCGGAGTTGGTTTTGACGGTTTCAAAGTTTAACTTTCCCTCCAATCCCTGATCACAACAAAAAACGATATAATAGTTAGATATTAGTAAAAAATAAATCAATAAATAGTTTTTTCTTAAAAAAACAAATACCTTTTCGGGTAAGAAATATGAGTCTCTAATTCTGTCGGATAAATCAGTTTCGGTAATATCTGTGTTATCCTGACTACAGGTGGGTTTAATGATCAACAATTTGCCGGTCATTTCGAGATACCGTTTGCCGGCCGTGTACTTCATTTGACGGTATTTACTCTTCAACATTAACCGATAATTGCTAAACAATTTTGCCCTTTTGAATGATTGCATGAGTATAGCGTCTAAGTCGCGACCCATAAATCCTTTGCCGACAAACTCGCGAACCTCTGAAGCGATTTTGTTTAGCTTTGAATTGACATCTGGTTTCTGACGAACTTCTCGTATGAGTTTCTCATTGATTGCTTTAGGCATATCTTTGCAGATGAATTTGGTTATCATTTCAATGATTGCCTGATCGTCACTCAAGTCTTCTTCCATATCGAGATCAGTCAGAGTGTCAATAATAACGGCCCGACGTATCGGTGCTTTCTTCAACATTTTAGACACAACTAGTGCACCGTAAAAGTGGCCAACAATGTCAAAGTTTCCGTTCGGGTGGAGTGTCTTCAATAGTTTTGTATAATAATTGGCGATCTCTTTCACATCTGTTATTTTTTCCATATCTTTAGTCCAATTCAATCCAATTACCGGTCGATTGATTTGTTCTGCCAATCCTTCGAGTGAAGCAAATATACCCTCGAGTGGGGGCAAGAAGTATACGGGATTACCGGTGCGCACACTGTTTAACGGTGTGTAGGCATCGGAAGGAATAATAAACTTGACTTTTGCCAACTTTTCTCTGGCATTGTGTAACTCTTCGGCAAATTTCTTGAATTGTTCCACTTTTCCAGTTTCAAAGTCTTTGATGTGTCGGACTGTTATTGATTTGATGTCATTCATAGTCAACTTTATTCCGTAATCCCTATCCAATCCCTGTTGTAACTCAACGGCAAACATAGACTCCATACCGATCTCACCCAAAGTCAAGTGATCGGGTGTAGTGCGCGGATCGATACCCAATGCCTGCCAWACCTGATTGACAATCTTTGACTCTCGACTACCCAAATGTTTCACGCGTTTAGCTCTAACCTATGCATTAAATTTATAAGCAAAAYATTATAAACTTTCTTATATAAATTATAACATAAGTTTTAATGCAGTATTTGTTATGCTGTACATAACAATAATGTAATAAAAATTTTATCAATATATTAATAGTTTTTTATGTTTTAAATTTACAACATTTAACAAAATAAAGTTTTTACTGGAATATAGTGTACTAATGTATAATGTTATGTTTGAAACATTTGTATAAAACATGAAAGTTAAACATTTAAATTAAATTTTAATAATAAACTGTAATATAATTAGAGTTTTGGATAACTTCCAAAAGGGGAGAGAAGTTCTCTAATAAAATCACTTGAATTTAATGGAAATTTTWAAAAAATATTTTATAATTTTATAAATASTACCAAAACTGAACAATTTTGCAAAACTTTCGGAAATAAAGTGAGGGAAGGAATTTGAATATAATAATTATAATTTTTATGCAAATATTTTAATTTATAGCTATTTTTTTATAAATAAATCATTAATATGAATAATAATCATTAATGAACAAATAATAACAAGTTTTATAATTTATTCATAKATATGAATCATAAATAATATAAATTTTATAGTACAGTAATCTATAGTTTTCTTAATTTAATTAATTACTTTATATAGTTTTAGTTTTTAAAGTGATTAAATAATGGACAACACTTACCACACAAGAAACCACGGCTTGTGATGTTTGAAGTAATTTGTCAAAGATTTCAAGACATGAATTGATCCGCTGTTTGACGATTCCCGACAATGAACTCATCTCAGTGTCAGACAGCACACCYACATCACCAATAGGTCCCCATTGAATGGCCAGACCGTGCAGTCCATCATTACGTCGGGACTCACATATGCGTTCACATACAGAGTTGGCGTATCCATAGTTGGATTGTCCGGCATTTCCTTTACCACAAGCGACGGACGAAAAGACAACAAAATAATCTAAATCTATACTCATTTGACGTGTTATGCGATCCAAGTTCTCAAARGTCTTAGCTTTCGAGTCAATAGTTTCACAAAAACCATCAATAGTTTGCTTTTCTAAAAGACAATCATTGAGTACAAGAGCCAAATGAAAGACACCGCCAATGGGTCCCAACTCTTGTGTTTCACTCAACAGTTTTTTCGTTCCGTCAACTGTTTGCGTGTCTTGAGTCGAGACAATAATGTTTGAGTCAAACATTTTGAATTTATTGCCCAAAGACTTGATCCGAGACAAAACATATCGCTGATAATCAGTTCGCACGCCATGTCTTGATGTGAGTACCAGTTTTCTGGCGCCCAAAAACAGCATCCAATGAACTAATTCAATGCCAAAACCACCCAAACCTCCAGTTATTATATAAGATTTGTTGGGATCAAAGTATGTCTTATAGGTTGCCATCAATTCAGTGGCCGGTTTGATATCAAGCATAGGTTTTCTATAAGTTTCTTCATCTCTGGTTTTAATGATAATCTTTCCCATGTGTTTACCGGTTGTCATATAACGGAAAGCCTTTTCAGCGTCTTCTGCCTTAAATACAGTCCTATTAATTGGTTTAATAAYACCGTTATTAGAGTTTTCGTGCATCCATTTGAAGAATTGTTGGCCAAATCCTTGAGTYAAATACAGTTTACGATCAGCGGAAACACCGATGAAAGAGATATCCCTTAAGAAGGCAAACATTCCCATTTGTTTGTTCATTTGTAAGTCATATTTGCCGATCTCAACAAAGCGACCGCAATCGGCAACACATTCATAACTGGCCTCAAGTTTTTCACCGGTCAAAGAGTTAAGTACCAAATCGACTCCCTTTCCATCAGTCAATTCCTTAATTTTATACTTAAACTGAATATCACGTGAACTGAATATTCTGTTTTCTGGTATATTGTATTCACTCATTAAAAATTGTTTCTTATCTTCCGTACCAACAGTTACATAGAGATCGCAGCTATACTTTTGGCACACATTGATGGCCGCCTGTCCCACACCMCCGGCTGCCGAGTGAATCAAAACACTTTCATCTATAAGTAAATGCATAACATTTATGAGCAATTAATTTGTTATTTTAAAAATRTWTTGGTATTACGTTTCTTCAGTTGTGCCCTCTCTATAAGTCCATACCATACCGTACTATAAGTGCTCAATACAGTRATTGCGTCGTCCATCGACCAGTTTTCAGGAATTGTTGAAATAAGATCTTCATTGGCGTCAATAGTTGTACCAAAACAACGACTCATATCGAAACCACAGACACGCTCTCCAGTATCAGTGCGACGACCGGCGAAYTCAAAGCCTAAAACACAATCTGTGAATAGACTTTCCGGACCAGACATAAGTCGACCTAAAAATATATAATTTTAATTTACTATTCATTATATTTATTGTATTATATTTATACGAACCCGTGGCTAACATGACATCCCTGAAGTTAAGTCCACTACTATAGACATGACATCTTATTTTATGTTTGCGAACATTACATAAATCGTAAAATTCATCGGTTGTGACGATATGTCGTGAATCATACCATTGAAGATGAGATAAGTCTCTGTTTAGACCGATATTCAAGAAGTACTCATTTGATGGGATTTTGTCATAATTTTTRGGTAAAGTTATGTGTCTGTAAGTACCGACTAATCTTTCATTTATTACATTTATTGCCAAATCATTGTTCAAAATGTCTGAATATGGTTTTTCTGTGAATTTGATCGAAGATTTGTTTGAATTGCAATCAAAAAGACAACGAAGACTATCGCCTCCCGGTTCCAGACGAAGACAATTGATTAGACCAACGATACCATTATGTTGTGAGTCATTAGCAATGAGCCAAATGTTATCTTTTGTGTCAATATTTTCTGTAACTCTTGTTTTCAATGTCTCAAACCATGACATATCGCTTGCATTGATTTCAATGATATTGTGTTTTTCCGGAACCGTTGGTTTGGTTTCAATCTTTCTAAAGAGTACAGCCATTGAATTAATTGAATCATATTTTCTACCGATTTCTTTGAAACCCATTTGAATGGCAGTTGTGGTGAAGTCATTGATTCTCTTCTCTAACTCAATGTTTTCCATATTTTTGCGTCCATTCATTGAATTTAACAGTAGTTCCGGTTCAGTGTATTTGTACTTAAAAACTGATAACAAGAATCCTTTGGAAACAATTGCATCGTAAGCTTCTTGAAGATAAACATCAAGTTTGACATCTTTTAAGTCTTGTGTGTCTTTCATTATAATGAGTTCGAGTTGTGATATATCTGATGGAAATGCCGAAGATTTATAGTCCCATTCAGTCATTTTAAACGACTTATTCTTGTATTCATCATTTATATTATCAATACATTTGGTAGCAATAGTATAGTTGACATCAATTGGATAAATGGCTGCTGAGGCCAATTGATTRTCAATTTCTTGWGCCATTAAAGCATTGSTCAGATTAATCTCCAAAACTTTAATATCTTTTTTCGGYACATAATTTTCGCTCACAATATCGAGAAGTGTACGAATCAAGTGTTCATTAGTGGACACCTGATTAATGACATCCATATTCATRTCAAACTCGGGTTGCATTTGRAKATCAGTTAACATTTTACTAATTGAATTTGAATCAAAATTTCTATTTTCATCTTTCAATATATCGCTGAGTTTTCCTAATATCTTAAGCATTATCTCATTTTTTTCAATGCTTTGAAGTCTTTTATCCATAATTTCTATTGAAAACTCATTGGAGTCCATCCAAAGTGAGTCTTCAATATCAAGGATTTGTCGGGCTTTTGATGCCAATGTAGAACAGATCTATTTAGAGAAAGTATTTTAATTGAATGCTAATTAATGTATAAAATGTAATAAATATATTATCAAACCTTCAGATAATTCAAGACATTTTGTTTATCGCACCGATCGATACAGTTTTGTTCATTATTGGCAACGAATTGATAGGATTCAAGTTTCAAGTCTTGAACATTGGTTTTGCGTGGAATTGGAAGTGCCATCAAATCTTCGACTTCGATTCCATGGGTGACAATCATACGTGAGTTCATATTGGCATAAAACGGTAGAACCGATTTATAGACATGAAATCGGGAGCCAATAACACCTTCTAAGAAGTCTTTATTGTCGATMTCGAGTATGGTTTCCAAGTCTTGCTCCATATTATCAYTTTTTGGTTCCATATCGACAACATTATTAAACACCTGTTCTTCGTCGAACACTTTTTCCTCGTTGACGGCCACCTTGTTTGCCGCCACGGCCTCAAAAAGTACTTTCGGGTCACAACGTAAACGTTTGATCATAACCGGAACCATTAGTTTACGGAAAGGCATGGCCACWGCCATTGTTTGCAACAATGAGTCCATGAATGTAACCCAATTACCATCCCATTCCACTTGACCCTTAAGTGATGAAAAGTTGTCTGTTTTGATATTTTTCAGACCTCTAAAATAKGGGCCGTAATCATAGCCGACGGCTTTCAAATCTTTATAGATATCATTAGTGGTTAATGTTATCTCTGTTTCCGACGGCTTTTCACTTAACACGTCATGAATTATATTTTGAACGCATAGGAAGTCTTGATCGGGACAATGAATTTTACCCAAACAACACGTGTTGTTGTTTTCTTGTACCACAAAATCGCCTGAAAAGTTAAATACATATTTTTTTTAAAAAAATACAATTTAAAATATTTTTATCATATTGTTTATTACCTGTATTTTCAAATATTTTCACTTTAAGTTTGGTGACCTCAGAGTCCGATAAAAATACGGGTCGTCTGAGCTGTAAGTCCTCAAAAACAACTGGTATCTGATTCCATATCTGACCCTTTTTAGCGGCCAAATGTCGCCATACAAGCATCAGATAACCGGTTGCCGGGAATAGCATATTACCGTCGATAGAGTGATCGGGTAAATAAGCTTTTAATTGTCTCGAAAGATTAATCACTTCTGTCATATCTGAGGCACTGCTTTTGAAATAATAATCGGGATATTTGCGCACAAAATAACTTTTATTGTGATCCCAACACATCAGCGAACTGATTGACTGTGTATTTCTAGCCACTGGCCACTCAACTTTAGGGTATAGATTTTCAATGGACGGATTGATTCCCAGTTCATACAATTTGGCCAAACCTGACATAAAATTGTCTAAATTGGTGTCATTGGAGTCACGCTTAATAAGTGACAAATAGGTGGACGACTCGAGCGATTGGGTTATTGTTTTAGCGAACAGACCGTGCGGTCCGATCTCAATCACAATAGCATTACTTCGGGATTTGGTTTAATTTGTTATAGAAATATACGGGATTTATTAGGTTATGCACGAAATACTCTGCCGACGCATACTTGAGCTGTTCGTCTTTAGGTTCCGACTCAAGAATTGCTGTTGAAATCCATTTTTTTGATCTGAGTTTAGGATTTGGAACCCATTTCTTGATTTCGTCGGTCATCTTCTTTGCCGAAGTTATCAGATATGGACTATGATATGGGATGTCATGACTTTGAAGTTCGCGAACAAATAGTCCTTTCTTTTTCAACGATTCAATCAGTTCTTTCATTTCATTATAGAGACCTAATTTGTTTAATAAATCAATTATTTAAATAAAGTATAAATTGATTTAATTTAAAGATGATTACCTGAAAACACAATCGTTTCATTTGAATTATTGCAAACAACGCTAACACTTTTGGGACATATTTTCTTTGCTTCACTCCATGACATCCCCACCACAGCCATCAAACCTTTTGGTATTTTCTTGTCATTCTCAGTGACTGCTCCTCTAATGTATGTTATAAATAGTGCCTCTTTTGTAGTCAGACAGCCATCAGCGTAGGCACAGGCAATCTCGCCAAATGAGTGACCAATTATACCGTCCGGTACTATATTGAGCTCTAATAATAAGTCAGTCAATGCTATTTCCAGAGCAGTTGTGGCACAGAATTTATTAGTCATTGAGGACATGGAGTTATTGTCGTCAGATAATAGCAGATGTTTTAAGTCAATTCCAAATTGTTTGAGTATTTCATGGCATTCCTCTATTTTATTGGCAAATATCTTGATTGGCATCAATGCCTTAGCCATACCAACCCATTGTCCTCCCAGACCAGGGAATAGAAACCAAATAGGTCTGGCATTCTTCTCCATAAACATTGAATGTTGTCTATGATATTTGTACTCAAATTGGTTGCTCTTAGAGTCTAATTGTTTAATAATCATTGATCCTATAAATATGAAATAACAATTATAATGATTAATATTATGGCAATTATTGATTAAATTGTTAATACCTCTAAAGGGAAGTCCAGTTGAATTAATGACTGACTTAATCTTCATAGTGTCGGTCAAAAGAGCCAGAAAATCGCGGGTAATCTTTGTTGGGTTTTTCTCAATGAAATCAAACATTTGATTTAATGCCGATTCAGTTCTGCAGCAAATATTAATAATTCTGGGAATAGTATCAGCAATMTTGAACTGGTAGTCGTCGACCACTTTATAGTTGGGCTCAAGTAATACGTGTGCGTTAACACCGCCGACACCGAAGTTATTGACACCAGCGATGCCTACAAAAAAATAATTAGCTAACAGTTTTGATTTGAATGCAAATATAATTAAGTCATACCGGGTGAGTATTTAAAATTTTCTTGAATTGGAACCAATGGCGGACACATGTCTGCAATGGCGGCTTTGATYTTATTGAGATGAAGATTCTTGGAAATGCATTCATTTTCATATGACATCAGAACTTTGATCACCGATGATATACCCGATGCACTCTCAGTGTGTCCTATATTACTCTTTAATAGACCAATGGGTAGAGTTCCCGAACGGTTCGGTAGTTTACAGTAAGCATTGTATATGGCTTTCGCCTCTTGAGGATCGCCAGCCTTTTATAATTTGTTTTTTATTTGTTATAAATTATTGTTAGATTAGTTATTGTCTTATAGATTCTATACCTTAGTTCCTGTGGCGTGAGCTTCAAAATAATTGACATCCAATGGATTCACATTAACTTCTTTGCAAACTTTAATCATTAGATCTTCCTGTCCTTCAGAAGAAGGRAAAAACATTCCCATAGTTTTGTTGCCATCAATGTTGACACCACTGTTCAATACTGTGGCATAAATACGCTTTGAATTACTCTTTCTTTGGAGGAAAAGACAAGCGACTGTCTCTCCTCTAACAAATCCATCGGCAGATTCATCCCATACTTTAGGAATGCCATCAAAACTGTTGAGTCTTGTAGTTTGGAAAACATGATTAGTGAAGGGCTGAAGATTTATCTGTGAGCCACCGACTATTGCCTGATCACACTTTCCTATAAATTACAATCATATTATAGTATATAAAGTCATAAAATTTAATTATTATTTTATACCTAATCGAAGATCATTGATGGCCAGATTGAATGCCACTAAACTGGACGAACAGGCCGTATCGGTCACTAATGACGGACCCTTAAAGTCAAACACAAATGATATGCGATTGGCATACAAGCACTTGGAGTTTCCCGGTATCCATAGCAATGTTTCGGTCAATGAATTCTGCGAGTCTGGCTGTACCTCCTCTGGTATGCCCTCAGGCATTGCGAAAGTTGTRTACCCGATATAAACACCTGTGTTTGAACCACGCAGTGTCTGTGGATTTATACCTGTAATGTATATGTAATGTAATGTATACAGTAAAGTGTGATTTAAGGTATAATTTAAATGTGTATTTTTTAATGTTTTTTAAGCTTAAGATATGTATATTTTAATTTTAAATACCGGCGTCAATGATAGCCTCATAGGTGGTCTCCAAAAGGATTCTCGACTGCGGGTCAATGGTGTCACCCATTGTAGGCATAATACCAAAGAAATTGCCGTCAAATTTGTCGATTTCTTTTATTTTTCCCATTCGTGTATTCATTCCGTATAAATCTAATTAATTAAATTGCAATAAATTATTTTCTAACTGCTAATTAAAATGTTAACATTTAATTTTTTATTTACACTTATTTTGCACTTATTTAAACTTAATTGGAGTATCAATTTTTTAGAATAATTAATTGTTAATGTAAGTAATAATTAATTTTTATTTTTATGATAATAACATAATTATTAATTTCCACTTTTGTACTTAAAAATAAAATTACTATTTTTTATACACTATCAACTTATAACAATAATTTTTAAAAGATCATAAAAGTGATTCATCAAAATAAGACATTTATACTAATTGACTTTTTTCTATCAATTTAGCTATTTTTACATAATTAAATTAAATTGATAAAATTTTCAAAGAAAAGTTATTATAGCCAAATAGCATATTAGTTATCTGGATACTTTTTTAATGTATATTTGGGGAAAACCTRTAGATATTATTTTTTTATGATTTCCGATCTGATTGCAAATCAACAATGAAATATTACAWTTAGCTTTTTATTTCCAATATTAATATTTTTTCACYATAATTGTTATAAATCATAACCTATTATTATATCAATATAATATATTTTTAATCAACATAATATAATATAGTATTTATTCAGTACTTAATATTTTAAATTAATATTGTTTTAACAATAAAAAAAATTATATATAAWTTTTTATTAGTCCTAATGATTTACACTAAAAAATACTAAATATTTTATTGCTAATGTATAACTTAAGTACTTAAATTTTAATAGTATTATATAAAAATATTAATTRTTATACCTTAAGCTAAATAAAAWTTTATAAKAAATATTTTTTAAACCATCAAATATTATAGTAACATATTCACATCATATTTATAATTAATTATATTTATTATTTGTAATATATATAAATTATCAAAAATTAAACGTTATTATGAGCTATAAATAWAATATTTATCTTAAATTTCTTTTAAAAATAATAATAWATATATAACTTTATATAACTTTATATAACTTTATATAACTTTATATAACTTTATATAACTTTATATAACTTTATATAACTTTATATAACTTTATATAACTTTATATAACTTTATATAACTTTATATAACTTTATATAACTTTATATAACTTTATATAACTTTATATAACTTTATATAACTTTATATAACTTTATATAACTTTATATAACTATTTATAAAATAATTTGTAATACCTTTTGGCCAACGGCGCTCATCGGCGGTAATCATATCGACTCCATTGTATAAATTATTTGCAAATTCATCGGTAGAATCKGATTCTGGGAATCGGCCACTCATACCACTGATGACAATRTTGTCTTCCATCATCTTCGGTAATGTCATTGTTGTCGACATTTTTTAATAAATTATTTTTTTAATTATAATTACAAGATTGGATAATGTCTTTATAATATTTTTTGCATAAATATATTATTAATACATTTAAACATTAGAAATTTTTGAWCTCTCAATTTTCTAATATTATTATATTATAGTCTTTAAAAAATCACTTTTAGTCATATATAAGCACATATACTACGTATACACGTAGTGTTATAGTTTATAAAAGATTTTTTTTTGAAACTTYGTAAAACTTTTTTTTCGCTACTAAAAAGTTATATAAATAACAAGCGAAAGTAATTAAAATTTTCCAAACATATRAACACAATCAATAYTAATCAAATATCTATATATAATATTTGATTTTATCGCATAAAAATATYTCACAATATTTTTATTTTTGTGAATCCGACACAAAATATTTACTAAAAACTTATAACTTCTTTGAAAACWCCTGTAAAATGATGATTATTATTATTTATATATATATATATATGAGAGATGAGGGACACTATATTAGTGAAAGAGAGAGGGAGAGAGAGAGCACCTGAGATTGATTGGACACCTCTTTATATACACACAAGTATTATTGAGMACTGGCTGTACTGTACAGTGTATATACTGTTGATAATACCGGTGTTTCTCTCTTACTATTTGAGTGCAATCACTTAATTGCTTTGAGTGTAACTTAAGGAGTGAGTAACTGAGTTAGTGAGAGTGAGTGAGTGAGATAAAAGTGATTTTTATTTATAATGTATTTTTATATATAACTAATATAAAACATGTATTTTGTTTGTAATGTCAGCAAAAAATTGCAATATTGACATGGGTTATGCCGCACCAATGATTGATGCCAAATGTTTTTTTCATCATGGTTAATTACTTTAAATAGCTTGTTTATATCACGATTTTAGWTTGTATAGTCAGTCTATACCCCCAACACCCCTTCTCCAGGCTTTCCCATATTATGTATGTTAGTGTGCACTCAATCCTCTAATCTTGAGGCAACCAAATAATAAAAAGTCCAATACTTTATTTAATATATCATTTTTTTATAAGTCATTTATTTTAGGAATTTTTAAAACTATTAAAAWCCTTTTTTTATATATATACTGTATATAAATATCTTTTCAATAATAATAATAATAATTTGTGTATTGGCTTTCTTTATGATAATGGTTGCCTTGAAAATGCATTTTAGRAGACCTGTGTAGTCAAACAAACATTAAAAATACTACTGTATATACAGTAATACTAATATTATAAATAAAAAGTCTCGAGGGTTTGAWTATATACTGAAAGTATGAACCAAAATGTTAAATATATAACAAATACGATAGTATTGAGTACAAGTGCATTAAAACTACCTTTCATACTGATATAAAATAAAAWTTWTGATAKGTACTGGTACTATTTATAGAATAATTGACAATGGTAAATTTTTATGAAACATAATATTCTGAGTATATTATCTTAGATTTCAGATTTTCCTACAATTTGTTGAAAGTTTAAGTTTTTTATAATAGTGATGAAATAAACTCAATACTGTTATTATTTTTACTATTTTTATTTTTTACATACCGCTACTTGTCAAGCAATTAATTAGCAAATGATATATAWATACTATAAATATACATTAATTATAATTTAAAATGTTATATAATTAGAAATTAATTTAATTTAAAAGATATTAGTGTAAGATAAATTTATTGAATACTAATATTTTGTTTAAAATTTCTAATGTAAAGTAAATATAATAAATATAACATACCATATCTGCTATAATGAGATCCCTGAGTTGAATCTTTTATTAGATAAAAAATAAATTAAAATTTTGATTGAATAATTTATTTATCACTTAATTGAAAATAACTTATTTATCAATAACAGTAACATATTTTATATTTGTATACTGTATCTGAAATATAAATTTATAGATTTAAATATAAAGATGCTTTTAATTGATGAAAAAATAAATGACTAAACTATTTTTTTCTTTAACATTGTTTTGGATGCTAAATTATTTAACTTTTAAAGATGATAAATTAACAGTTGTAAATTAAATTATTTTAGAAAAAAATAATTGCTTAATAMAATTTTTAAACAATAAAACTAATTACTATATAATAATTAATAATAATAACTAAACGACAATATTATTATTTTGGCAAATGTTAATTATTATTTTTATTTAATATAWTTTGAAAAAATATTTGCATAATATTTAAAAATAAATATATATATATATAGTATTAATAATATTATAACAATTAATTTATAAAATCTATTCTATGCTTTTTYATTATAATGAAAACATTAGTTCTATTATTTAATTGAATTCAATAATAACACATAATCAAAATTTAAAAATAAACAATTATAAATAATAACAGTAATAAAATTAGTATGCTAACAATTAAATAATATTTTTTTATTTAATAAAAAAATCAATTAATTATAATATTAAAACACAAAGAGTTATTCAAAAAAATAAAATAAATTTTTTATTTATAAATGTTTGAATTATTTAACTAGTTTTCAATTAATTGAAAAGTTCAAGGATATTTAGTCACGAAATTTTTTATTTCAATAGATCATTGAATGAATTGTATATTTATTTATTTGTTTTCACTTTTCATTATATTATTTTTGTCTATTAATACTAATAATTTAATAGTAAATGACTGATTTTGTTGTCAATGTAAAGTATTTAATTTATTAGCATATGATGTAATTTTTAATTAGTTTTTTTTGCAAATTTTTTATTTTTCAAGTTTATATTAATTTAAATCCAATTAWTTTTCTATAAAAATAATGATATACTTAATGTTTAAATAAATGTTTAACACTTAAATAATAACAATAATAAAACTATAYTTTTAATATAACTGTATACTGTATAATTTTTAATTAAATAATTTTGTCTACTATAATAGTTATTAATTATTACATAATTAATTTTAAAATTACATATATTAAAATTAATTTATGAATTTATATTAATAATATAATAGTAAAAATAATTTTAATGTAGTTAAAAATACATTAGTATTGTGTTCAATTCAAGTACAWGAATTAATAACAATTATTTTTTTAATAACAATTGACTAAACAAATTACAATCAACTGTTAAACAAACATTGTTTTATAGTTATAATTTGTAGAAATACTTTAAACAGTTAATAAATAGAGTATTTACTTCAATACAGTATTTATGACAAAAGTTATTTTTTCTAAGATATTAATCTTAAAATATTTTTCAAAATTTATTATACAATTATTGTACAGTATATTTAATGTAAAACAATGTGAAAATCCTATTTATATATATACTGTATATTTATTAGATAAATACAAAGAGTTTTCAAATCTACTCTAATGTTAACTCTTGCACCCAATCTATAGGCAACCCCTAAGCAACCCCTATAACGACATTAAGTATCAAAGTTCTATTGACTGACACAATGATACCTGTCCTCTATCACAGCTATTGATGAGTTCAATGATAAATGAAAAAAACGTGTTTTTTGTTGTTTTATTTATTATAGTATATTTTTATGTAAGTCTCATTGTCCCTTAAAAAACATCAAAAATGCATAAATTTTGTATTATTTTATCGGTGTATTGAACTAAAATATATAAATAATAATATTTTTGAACAAAATTAATTGAAATATTTTGAGTGTCTAAAAAAACTGATGCAAAATATATTTTATTATAAAAAATTATCATGATAATTTTAAACAACCCAAAATGTTATATGACTTACAAAAACATTGGTTTTTAAATTAAAAAATTTATAATTATGAGAATTTAAAAAAACTATTTTTTTCAGTGATAACTGCAAGTCTTTAATAAATACTCTCTCTCTCTCTCTCTCTCTCTCTCTCTCTCTCTCTCTCTCTCTCTCTCTCTCTCACACACACACACACACACACACACAGACACACACACACACACACACACACACACACACACACATACACACACTCTCACACACATAAAATCTTACATACATAACATATTAMAATAATTTTTTATTAAAAATTAGTTATAAATTATCTACTGATATATTGTGTATGTGTTTTGGCTCAAGGCACAATAAACAATTTTATAATGTTTATTACACCTACAATATTTAACTATAATATTATATTTATGTAATTAATATATTATAATTACTACCAAACTATGTGTTTAAAATTTGCATATTTAATTTTACACGAGAATTCATTATATAAATGTAAGTACAATATAATTAAGTAAACATATTATAAAATAACAATATCAATGTTATTAGAAATATAATATTTCATGTATTATACGAAATAATTGTACTGACAGATAAAAATAACAATTAGTGCATTTTAAGTTCAAATTTTTTAGCACTTAAATGAATTTTAATTTTAACTTTAGGCAATTGTACCTAGAACATAATATTAAATATTGCATACTTATTGCATTCTATCAAATATTTGGTTATATTTTATTTTATTTTTTGCATTAAAATAATTTTAAAATACGATAATGTTTTTAAAATAATTTAACTTTATGAAATATGATCAAATTTAGGAAATATTAATATATATAAAATATTAAATTATATTACGGTATATATTAAATATCTTTAATTTATTTAATATAAAAATACATAATATTTAAATATTATTACATTAAATCAATATTATTATTTTGATTTATTGTTTATATATGTAATTATTATACAAAAAATTAAATTATATTCACAATTAAATTTTTTGAAAATTAAATATTTATTATCGACATTTTTCTAATAAACCATTAACATCAAGTGTCAATAAATCACACACAAAAAATGTTCAAGTCAATTTATATAACTGCAATATCCATGATATTTATTATATCTTCTATACAGTATATATGTATACATAATAACTAATAAAACTATTTAATTTATTATAGTATTGGTCAAAGCACTTTTAAATTTGGAGTCAAAAGTTTTTTTATGTATTATAAAATGTATTTATTGTTATGAATGACTTATAAACATA